TCAAAGCAAAAAATCGGCCGAGAGATGGCTCGTATCTCGAAAAACTCGTTAATCGGGACACTCGTAAGTCAAGACCCCACTGTATATAAAAGCCTAAGTGACCTTTACTACCAGAGGACTGGCCGGTAGCTATGATGCGCACTGACCACAGGGGGCAGATGCTCAACTCAGGAACTTCCTCCTGGTGTCAGTGTTCCCTCCCCCCGGCCAGCTGGCCCCAGTTGGCCCTTATCACCAGCCAGGCCAAGGGACCCCACCCATGCACGAATTTGTGCACTGCCTCTAGTAATAAATATTAACTATAATGTAGTAAACATTCAACAGATGTTACTGGGTTCAGTTTATAAATAGATCAGAAATGAACAAAAACAGACATTGTCCCTAGGTTCTAGACCAGCGGTCGCCAACCAGTAGTTCGTGGACCACTTGTGGTCCGTGAGGTCCGAAAGGTTGGCGACTGCTGTTCTAGACAGTGGGCCGGCAGTGTGAAGGCCTGTGGTGGAAGGGACATGTTGCATTCATGGGATTAATAGTGCGCCCACTGGCCTGAATACAGGGAAGGGGGAGAGAGGAGGCCTTGTAGGCTACGTTAAAGCTGTCAGCCTTTAAAAGAAGAGAGAAGGACTGAACTGGGGAGTTGCATGATTAGTACCTTAAAGAGGCCAGTCTGGCTGCAGTGAGCGAGTGTGTGGAGGGGATGCAGCGTGATGTGGATTAGGAGGCTGCTGCGATGTTCCAGGTGAGAGGCGGTGGCTCGGAGAGGGGAATGTCAGTGGGAATGCAGAAGCGGGAGGATTTGAAATATTTTGGAGATAAAATCAAGTTGCTTATAATTAGGTGTTTGGAAGTATTCTGAGATTCTGCTTCAGCAGCTTCATGGGTTATAGGCCCACCCCCTGACACTGGGGTCACTGGAAGAGAGAAATTTGACTTCACTCTTGAACATACTGAGTTGAAGTGCCCTTGAAGGATCCAAATTGGAATGTCGTACCGACAATGAGATACATGGGTCTCGACTCAAAAGGAGCGGTTAGGAGAGAAGTGTTGGGATATTTAACCTCGGGGGCTTGTGGATGTGGGTGAGATGGTTCACGGAAGTGGTTCTCAGCATAGACTGCACATTGGAATCTCTTGAGTGTTGAAGAAATAACCCCTCCCCCAGATTCGCTTTAATTAATTGGGTGTTGGGCTTCTAGAAGCCCCCCAGATAGTACTGATGTGCAGCCAAGACAGACCCACTCCTGGAGAACATGAGCTGAGATTAGGAGAGGGGCTAGGACTGAGCCTGGAGGCACACAAGCAGAGACCCGTTAGGGGAGGATGAACCTGCCAGGAGACTGTTCTGCTGCCAGAGAGGTGGCAGGGAATCTCTGTGCTTCCAAGGAGGTAAGTGTGGCCAGCAGTGCCTGTTGCTGCTGAGAATTCGGATTTAGGAATGTGGACGTGGTTTAGTTACCGGAGGGGGAGGTGGTAGTTGGAAGCTTGGAGCAGAAGCTGGGTTAGAGCAGATTGAAAAATGAGAGGGAGGAATTGGAGACAGTATAGGCAGCTGTTGGAGGTATTTGGGGAGAGGCAGTGAGAAACAGAAAAGGTGTGCCATTGTATTAGGATGTTTTGGCTAAAAATAACAGAAAACTCTGACTCAACTGGTTTAAATAGTGAAGAAAACTTACCTTATTCAGAGTTCCAGAAGAAGGAGTTTCAACAGTGTCATCAAAGACCGAGGCTTTTCTCAGCCCACTGTGTGACCTGGACCTCCAGCTGTCATCGCAGGGTGTCAGATGCTACTGTAATTCAGACATCAAACCAGATAGTACAGTCTCCAGCAGAAGGATAACTTCGATGTAGTCTTCAAAAAAAATACACATACTGAGAAGTGTACAATTCCTAAGTGTGTAGGTTGAATTTGCAGAAACCAAACAACCATAACTAGTGCCCAGATCACCACCTCAATACCCAGAAGCCCCCTTGCTCCTAGTCACTACCCACCTCCTCCTCCAGGATAACTGCTATTCTGACTTCCAGCATCATTGGTTATTTTTGCTTGTTTTTGTGCAATATAAACAATCATAGTATGTATATAGTATGTGCTCTTTTATGTTTGGCTTTCAACATTGTTTTTGAGATCCATATTGTTGCATGTAAAGTTGTAAAGTGTTCATCTATTGCATGAATATACCACATTTTATCCATTCTGTTGTTGATGGGCATTTGGGTCTTATAGGTGGTGTCATTGTGAGCACTCATTTCTGTTGAGTGTATAATTAGGGGCAGGGTATCCTTATATTTAGCTTTAGTACAAAATTTCCAAATGGTTGTGTGATTTTACACTCCTACCAGCAGCATATGAGAGTTTCAATTCCATGTCTTCGCTAATACTATTTTGTGTCATTTCATTTGGACATTCTGGTGGGTGTGTAATGATCTAGTGCTGTGATTTTAGTTTGCATTTCCTTAAGTTGATTAATGATATTTAAGTTGAGCATCTTTCCATTTGCTTATTGACTATTTGGATTTTCTCTTTTGTGAAATGCCTGTGTGGATTTTGAGTTGAATGTCTTATTAGTAGTTTATTTTTTAAAAATTTTGGATATGAGTCATTGTCAGATATTTAAATTACAAATATTTTCTCTCTGGCTTGCCTTTTTACTCTTGTTTTCTTTTCACAAACAGAAGTTACTAATTTTAATATAGTGAGTTAGCCAATTGTTTCCTTTATGGTAAGCATTTTTGTGTTTTGTTTTTAATCTCTGCCAGCACACATGTCACCAGAATGTTCTGTTTCTAATAAAATCTCGACTGTTTAACTTTGGAATTTAGATTTATAGTCCATCCACAGGTGGTTTCTGTATGTAGTGTGAGATGGGGTTCATATGTGAATGTCCCGTTGACACAACACCGTTTCTTAAGAGTACCTTTTCTCCATGTCTTGTGATGTTACCTTTGTCATATAGATCAGGTGACTGTGTAGGTAAGGGTCTGTTTCTGATTTCTATATCCCATTCTGTTGATCAGTGCATCTATCTTTAGATAGCATTTTCTTTAAAAAAAAAATAATGTATATAGCCTTTTAGTGGGTATTGTTATGTGGTAATATGTTACCTTGTTTTTTCCTTGTAATCTCTTTTTAAGAGTGATGATTTCCCTCAGGTCTCATTGGCCAACACTGAGTCACATGACTACCCCTAAGCCAATCAGTGGAAAGGAAAGCAGCTGTTGCCCTGATTTGCTTTAACTAATTAGGACTTGCCTCTGAATCTTTTTTTTTCTTCAAGGTCACCAAAAATGTTGGTTGCCTCAAAGAAAAAAAAATTGGGAGAAAGAGATATATCTCTGAATCTTGTAGTAGTGAGCTAGACCCTCTCAACAGAAGTGTAGGCAGGTAGAGGAGGGGATAGCAGTTGGGTAGGCTACCAACAGTGTTTTCTTATGGCTTAAGGCATATTTATTTTTATGTATTTGTTTTTTAAAGATGAGAGAGATCTGACCATATTAAAAGTTGATGGGAGGTTGTATAGCAAGGTGAATGTACTGAATACCACAGAACTGTACATTTGAAATGATGGTTCAAATGGTAAAATTATATGTTATGTAAATTCATCATAATATGGCATTGATTTTTGAGAGGGAATGGTTAATATACATGTGAGAGAAGGGATTATTGAAATTAATAGAATAGAGAAGTTACATGGCACAGGTGGAGAAGTTGGCCAGAGAAGGAAGAGAACAGTAAATGAGAAAAGGCAGGGCTAGGTATGGATTTGTCCTTGGTAGTAGAAAATTGAGAGTTCTCTTGATGTCTCTTCATTTTACTCTTTGAACTGAGGGCAGAGATCATCTGCTGAGGGAGAAGGGATTGGAAGTTTGAGGACAGGATACAAGGTTTGAAATGATCAGTTTATAGAGTTAGAGAATGATTTGATCTAGAAGGATGGTTGAAGGCCCCTTCGAGTTGCTTTAATCAAGAATAATAGTGCTACCTTATGCTCTACTGTGTAATCTTCTCCAGCAATACTTGGCTCCCTAGATCAGGCATGGAGAAAGTGGAAAGTGGGATTGACCCCAACTTGGGCTTTGCCATGGAGCCAGATGTAAATACAGGGACAGAGGAGTAGAAAGAATTAGTAAACATGTGAATATGAAATGATGACCCAGTGACTCGCAAGCTAGCTAAATAAGGAAGTAAAACAAACAAAGTGGGTAAGTCAGTGAGTTGGGCACCCTGAGGAGATAGTAGGAATAGTTGAACACGATGGAAGGAAACTAGGTTATAGGGGAGAGCAGGATGTCTCGATTAGTGATTTTTGAAGTTTGAACAGTTTTGAGTGGTGATAAGTTTTGGGGGAAGTGGGGCAGTGGTGGGTGTCTGAGCTGGGGAGAGAAGGAGGTCATAGAAGATATGGCAGGAAACTGTTAGTACTTGGTAGTTTATAAAGTACTTTTTTAGCATAGTGTCTGACTTAGTCCCTCCTTCAGACAGGAAGAACAGGGTGATTGTCCCCAGCGCAGGTGAGAAAGCAGGCCGGGAGAGGCTGATAACTTTCCAACAGCCCACAGGGATTGGGCTTCACTGTTTCAAGTCCCCACTTTTATGCTCTGTCCACTGTAGCTTTGCCGAGGTGTTGTGTGAAAGATCTGGGAGTGTATTTCTGGAGTCTTGCTAATATACAGGAATAGTGCAAAAAACTCTACAACGAATAACCAGTTGGGCATAGATTGAGGTGTAAGTAAGATATGTGCAGGGAGTATCCCAGAAATGGGGAAGCAGTTATTCCTGAGCAGTTGTGACTGTGACTCTGGATGGCCTTTTCCCTTCGTTTTACTTTTCTGTATTTTCCAAATTTCCTATAATGGACGTATATGGGTCCTTAAAAATTAAAAAAACATTTTTTAACTAGGTTATATATGGAAAATTCAAAAAATACAAATAGAAATGTAAGATGGTTTATATACCTATATTAAAATAAAAACGTGAATGTTTTTCTTGTTTTTCTTTTTAGACATGCACTTGGTGATGGAAAAAGAGCCATTATTTTGAAGAACAACTGGACAAAGGTAGGTTTCTTTTATATTTTACCTTGGGCAAATAATGCCATACAACTTAGAGAAAAATCTAATCACAGGATGTACATTTGTATGTAAAAATGTGGATAAAATAGGAATCTTCAGTTCCATAGTCAGAAAGGAAGCGGATTGTTTTACAGAGTTCAAGAATGATTTGATGTAGAGTGAGGCCGGACTGCCTGACACATACAGGCACTCATTAAGTAAATACTTGATGACTTAGTGAATGAATGAATGGAATACTAGATTGCAGTTGAAATTAATTAACTGGCTTATCAATAGATTTTAAAAAACAATGTTGAATCGCCCTGGCCAGCTTGGCTCAGTGGATAGAGCGTCAGCCTGCGGACTGAGGGATCCCGGGTTCGATTCCGGCCACGTGCACATGCCCGGGTTGGGGGCTCGATCCCTAGTAGGGGGTGTGCAGGAGGCAGCCGATCAATGATTCTCTCTCATCATTGATGTTTCTATCTCTCTCCTTCTCCTTTCCTCTCTGAAATCAATAAAGAAATATATTTTTTTAAAAAACAATGTTGAATGAACAAAGCAGTAAAAGCATATTAGAAAAATACCTATCAAACTCTTGATAGTGTTTGCTTCTGGGCAGTGAGAGACAGGAAAGATTAACGGTACAAAGGAGACTTCAGCCATATTTCTATAGTTTTAGTTCTTGCATTAAAGAATCTGAAGCAAATATAACAAAATGTTAACAGTTAATTCTGGTGTTTGTTATAGTCATTTATATTTCCTAAATTATAAAAATAGTCTGAATTTTTTTAAAGCAGAGCTTCATTAAGACTCAAAAAGATACATGTTTCAGACTTCATTTCTGGCTTTTCATAATTTGCTTTTATTTATTATTTTTTTAATTATTATTTTTTAATCCTCACCCAAGAATATGCTTTTATTGATTTTACTGATTTTAAAAATATGTTTACATTGATTTTTAGAGAGAAAAGAATGGAAAGGGAGAGAGAAAGAGAGAGAGAAACATTGACCAGTTGGCTCCCAGGCATGCCCTGAGCAGGCATTGAACCTGCAACCTGGGTATGTGCCATGACCAGAAATTGAACCCTCCACCCTTTGGTGAATGGGATGACAACTCGAACCAACTGAGCCACACTAGCCAGGGCCATAATTTATTTTTAAGCCAGAGTGAGTGGAGTCGTAGAATTTTAGAGCTTTCAGTTTGTGATTCAGGTGGTCTAGGAGTGTAAAATCTGGGGATTATAAGATTTCTCAGGCGGACTTCTTCATTCCACTTTTGGAGTCACTTTCTAAGTATATTATTTTACAGATGAAGAAATTAAGTCTCAGAAAAGTACAGTGACTTTGCAAGGTGCCATTACAAGTAAAAGACAAAACTGGATTGAGGGTGGTGATTGTTGCTGTTTTCAATACAAGTCATTCTTGTGCTTAAAAATCCTTTGCTGACTTCTGCACCTGGCATGTGGCAGCTGCTCCATAAATATGTTCAGGATGAATGGATGGTAGAATTCTTAATAGTAAAACCTAGACCATGATACTGGTTTTCCAGAGATATCTTTTGTTATTTTAATCTAGTATCAACTTAGAAAAAGAGTACTAAAACTTTTAAAATTACTTTGAGTACCTTATTTAGAATGTTCATTCCTGATTTAGTTTATCAAAGAAAATATTTACTCTTTAAGACTTTTTTTTTTTTAAGAACAGTTTTAGGTTCACAGCAAAATTAAGAGGAGGAAGGTACAGAGATTTCCCATAATCCCATTACCCCACGCACACATGCCCTCCCCCATTGTCAGCATCCCCCAGCAGAGTGGTGCAGTTGTGGAATTAATGAACCTCCACGGACACATCATCATCACCCAAAGTCCAGTTTAACTTGGAGTTCACTGCCTAGGTATTGTACATTTTATGGGTTTGGACAAATTTATAATGACATTGTGCTTCATAGGGTGTCTTTTCACGGCCCTAGAAATTCTCTGTGTGCATTACCTTTTGATGTTGTTATATAGGGTACAAACCAATAGTTTCACAATGTCCTCAAGAACCTTTTAATTTTTAGGGGTTTATTTGGACTCTCCTGTTTGTGAATGACAAAACCTAACTCAGATTTGGCTTAAGGAGAAAAGGGAATTTAATGGTTCCTGAAATTGAAAATTCTAGGGGTTAGCTTCTGGCATGGTTGGATCCGATCTGTACACAATTTTCTTGTGTTTTTAGCTGTGCTTCCTTGTTTCTTTGCTTCATTTTCAGTCTTTTCTCTGTTTCATTTTACCAAGGTTCCATTGCTGTCCTCAAGGTCACTGATCTTTTCTTCTGCAATGTCTAATCTACCTTTATTTCCATCAACATATTGGTCTTTTCTAAAAAATATATCTTATTGGTTTTTTACAGAGAGGAAGGGAGAGGGATAGAGAGTTAGAAACATCGATGAGAGAGAAACATGGATCGGCTGCCTCCTGCACACTCCCCACTGGGGATGTGCCCGCAACCAAGGTACATGCCCTTGACCGGAATCGAACCTGGGACCCTTGAGTCCGCAGGCCGACGCTCTATCCACTGAGCCACACCAGTCAGGGCCATCAACATATTTTTCATCTTAAATGCTATAGTTTTCATGTCTAGAATTTCAGTTTGAGTATTTCTTACGTATTGTATGTCTTCAAACGCTCAAACTTGTTTTAGCTTCCTGAATGTGTGCAATAAATTTAAAATACTGTTTTAATGCCCTTATCTACTAATTCTGCCATCTGTCATTTCTGGATTGGTTTCAATTGACTTGTTTTTCTCTTCATTATAGTTCACATTTTCCTCTTTTGCATGCCTGTAATTATTTTTCTATATACTGTATGTTTCTTTTTCTTTTTTTTCTTTTTATTATTTTTGTTAACCCTCACCCAAGGATATTTTTCCATTGATTTTTAGAGAGAGTGGGAGAGAGAAAGATAGAAACATCGATGTGAGAGAAATACATCAATTGGTTGCCTCCTGCATGCGCCCCAACCAGGGCCCAAGCCAAGGAGGAGCCTGCAACGGAGGTATATGCCCTTGATTGGAATCGAACCCGGGACCCTTTGGTCCACAGGCCTGCACTCTATCTACTGAGCCAAACTGGGTAGGGCCCTAGTAATTTTTGATTGGATGCCAGACATTGTGCTTTTATGTAATATTTTTGTATTTCTGTAAATATTTTGAGCTTTGCTTTGGGATGCTGTAGTTACTTGGAAATAGTTTAATTCTTTGGAGTCTTGTTTTAAACTTGGTGAGGTTGGAGCGTAGTGGTATTTAGTCTAGGACTAATTTTTCTCCATAACTGAGGCAAAACTTCTGAGTGCTCAACTTAACACTCCATGAATTATAACGTTTTCCGCTCTGGTTGACGGGAATAAGACGTGTTCTTGATCCTGTGTGAGTGCTGACTGCTGTTCCCCTTTAGCTTTTCAGGTGGTCTTTCCCTTGCTTGGGTAGTTGCCCCACATGCAGGTACTGATCAGTCCAGAGCCAGACTCAAGGGGGACCCTGTGAAGACTTCTGGAGTTCTCTGTGCAGCTCTCCTCCCTGTCCTCTGCGCTGTGACCTTGAGCTGCCATGGCTTTCCTGGACTCCTGCTCTATCTTCTTTTTAAAAAAATATATTTTATTGATTTTTTACAGAGAGGAAGGGAGAAGGATAGAGAGTTAGAAACATAGATAAGCTGCCTCCTGCACACCCCCTACTGGGGATGTGCCCGCAACCAAGGTACATGCCCTTGACCAGAATCAAACCTGGGACCCTTCAGTCCACAGGCCAACGCTCTATCCACTGAGCCAAACCAGCAAGTACCTGCTCTACCTTCTTAACTGAGATTCTGGTCTCTGCCTGGCTCCTTCTCCCTGTGCCATGGCTTAGACACTGTCCCCTCAGCAGGCTGGGGCAAGCATAGGGCTTACTTTGTGTGTTTCTCACTGTCAGGGATCAGCCTCTGTTGTTGCTGGATGTCCAGTGTCGTGCAACCCTTTGTTTCATATACTGTATGTGGTTTGTTTTAGGCAGGAGGGTAAATCCAATCCCTGTTACTCCATCTTGACCAGAAATGGTAGAGTGTGGGTTCTCCTGGCTTCATCTTGAAAAAGAACCAAACTGATATCCTCTATAACTGTTAATTCTAGTGGAAAGAGAACATCTTTAGTATCTGTATAGTAGTATACCTGAGGGATGTCTCACACTTACCCTCACTGAGCCATCCTGCCACCTGTGGATCCATCACTGACCTGGGAAATGGTGCATTGCGATGGGCCCATTTCCTGGGTCACAACTACACTCCTACGCTACCCTCCTTGATGAGAGAATCATTGATGATTGGCTGCCTCCTGCATGCCTCCTACTGGAGATCGAGCCCACATCTGGGGCATGTGCCCTTGATGGGAATCGAACCTGGGATCCTTCAGCCCGCAGGCCAACGCTCTATCCATTGAGCCAGACTGACCAGGGCTTTTTTAAAAAATGCAGTTATGTGTGCTTTAAAGTTGATATATGCTGGGAGATAGGATGTTGGTATTGTAGCGTACCTCTAAGAGATCTCTTTTATCTTCTTTATGCCTTTTGACAAAAAGCAGAGTTAGAACAAATGCGATCTGAGTTGACTCTTTGATCTGAGCTTAAATTCTCTGGCTAAAAAATAGCTGCAGAGCTCACCGGTTGGGTTGGTGCACCAGAGTGGGATTGTACATGTACAGCACCTGGGTAAGCAGAGGTCCTTGTGGTTGTTTCTGGCTTTTCTTAGTGAAAAGCCCATCTTTCTTAAAAAGGTCACTTACTCATTTTTAAATGAAATGATAGTTTTCATTTTTTTTCTAATTAAAGGATAGTTTTTTTCCAATTAGTATTTTTTGTATGTTTCTTTGTATTGGATTTATTAGGATGACATTGGTTCATAAATTACATAGGTTTCAGGTGTACAGTTCTCTAATACATCAGCTGTATAGTATATTGTGTGTTCACCACCCCATCAAGTTTCCTTCCATCACCATTTACCCCCTTTATCCTTTTTGCCTCCCCCACCTCCCTTTCCCTCTGGTAACCACCATACTGTTGCCTGTATCTCTGAAGTTTTTTTCTGTTTTTTGTTTTTTTTTAATCTCATAGAATCAGAATGGTCTTTGTAAAGTGTACAGTAAAGAGAAAAGAGCTCTGGCCCCAGAATAGATCAGGGTTCTTTGTTTTGCCTGTAAGGGAGTGACATTAGGCAAGTTCCTAGCCTTTTCACTTGGAAATCACTGCTCCTCTGGAGATGCTGTCCCTGAAATGGGAGTTTGGTTTGTGAGTAGCTGCTAGAGGAGAGTGCGTTGTGTTAGCCCAGGTCTGATCATGTTAGCTCTCTAGATTAAAATGTTCGTGCTGGACACAGATTTCCCAAAATGCTTGAGGGGGGCCAGCCAGGGCCGTTGTAGCACAAACAAAACTTATTTATGCACTCATTGGTTGATTGTTGTATGTGCCCTGACCAGGGTTCAGGGCACATACACTTCCCACACTTCTTCTCCGGTAGCTTTTTTGTAGAACAAAAAAAACAATCATTAGAATTAAGAGTAAATCAGTGGTTTTTGGACCTTTTCTTTCTTAAAGCCAACAAGTACACTTAGAGGAAAAAAAGAATGAAAAGCTGGTAAGAGAGTGATGGATAGAGGACTAGCTTAGCTTTACCCCTCATTGTGCCCATGCTCCTCTCCAGAGGTGGGAAAGCTGCTGCACTAGCTGACTGTCCTCCCAACTCTCAAATCCCATGGACTTCTAAACTGTAAGGAATGTAATCACTTGGAGACTACTGCTGCCTTGAAGTATTGTGAAGCAAATTTAAGTTATTTATATGAATGATTTTTATACTTTATTTGGCATAAAAAATTATTTCACTCTTTGGTAAAATATAATAAAGGTTGAATTTTTTTCTTTGGGCATACAAAAAAATCTCTTTAAGTGAAAATACTGATCCCTAGACAGTTGTTAAACATTATTATGAATACCGTTCATCGCTTTTCAATTAGCTCATTTTGGTAATTTTATATCCTGAGAGGTATTAACATTTTTATTTATTTTTTAGGTTCTAATTTAACAGTTTAAGTAACTAATCAGATTTCAAGTGAAATATTTTTCCTTATTGATTTCCTTTAACTTAAGCATATTTTTGAGAAAAATTAAATTTATCTTTTTGGAACAGGGTCATTATCGTTACTGTGCTGCTCTTTATATGCTGGGGGAATATGACTGGGCCCTGCAAGCAAACAGTAAAGCTCAAAAACTCTGTAAAAATGACCCTGAGGGAATCAATGATCTAATTCAGCAACATGTAAAGTTACAACAACAAATAGAAGATCTGCAAGGTATTTCATCTAAGATTCTTTCTTTTGTTTTCAGTCGAATTCCCTTTAAAACTTTTGAAGGTGGGTTTCTTGGATTAATGGAGAACCATAAATCAATTCTCAGATGATTTGAACTTACTTTGTTATCTTGGTTGAGTCACTTAAGTTTCCATTTTTATCTGCATAGAATTATATTAGTGTTATATTCCATTAGATAATTATAAATGATTGATATTTTTATTTGAAACATTCAGCAATGAATTATTGTATACTCTTGCATAGAAAATATGCCTTCTTGAATTTTGAAATAAATTCTTTTTGAAACAAAATTGTTTTAAAATTATCTCCTTTATTATTATAGTTATTTCCTGAAGAAAAGTCCCTTCAATAGGATTGTTTGGTGTTTTTGCACCAAGTTTGGGGCTGATTTTATATATCTCAGAAGTCTGCTGTGCAGACTAGGAATTCTACAATCCTTACTCTGCACTCTCTGTGTAGGTCTTTCCTGTCTTTCCTTCTGTGGGTATTTGGTGTCTTCTTGAGCTGAGCTGAGTGTTCTGTTTCACTAGCAAATGTTATCCAACATAACGTGATCATAAGATTGTGAGCTCCTTGAAGACAGGTGCCCTCTCCGATTCACATTTCTATAGTGCTGCATCTACTCAGTGATCACATCCAATGGGATTTCAAATAACAGCTGTAGAACATTTTGTTGACAAGCTCATCAACTGAAAGCATCTCAAAATGTAAAATTGGTTAGGCTTACTTTTCAGTTCTCTGAATTTGAAAATCGTTTACAGTATGTGTTACCAATGCACTGATTATTGTGTGTGTGATTGATTTTGATAGGCGGAACACCAACTAGGAATCCTATTAAAGCCTTTTATGAAAGTGGGTAAGTTACTAGGAATGGCTTTGCCCTGTGAGTTTAAGAATCTCTGTGTTTAATGCTTTAGTAGCTAATAGCAACCACAGTGAAGTTGGGGGTGGAAGGATGATAGGTGGTTTTTAAAGTGTTCCTGCGTAAGGTCAGGTGACCTGTGAAGTGCCAAATGTATTTTGCCCACTCTTTTACTAAGCTATGTGCATATGTATGTATTAGAGATCAGTAGCTTTAGCCTATGGGAAAGGAGTGAAATGATGATGGGATGTTACTGTGTTTGAATGGGACCAGTTTTGGCCATCATGGATGGTCCTGGCAGCAGAGAGCAGGTCACAGTCTGTGCCTCTTAGCCTTGGCCTCCGTTCTGGAAACATCTGCCTCTGACTCCTGGTATTTTTTTCAAAGGCTAAGATGCTTCCTGTTAGAAATACTACTAGGCAGCAGATAGACTTGCGTATGCTTGCAATAAAGCCAGTAGCACCCAGGGTCTGCATTAAAGAAGATTAAGCTTTTCCTCACATGCTTAAGATACTGAAGCTGTTAATTTAAAACAAGGAGACTTATTTTAATATTAGGAACCAGAATACACTTCTTGATCTGTTCTTAATGTATTTTTAAGTTTTTTAAATTATATTTTGGATTTTAATACCAAATTAAAATAATGTTTAGGTATAAGGCCCACTCAGAGATGGGGATTCTTTTATTTTTTTATATATATTTTATTGATTTTAGAGAGGAAGGGAGAGGGAGAGAGAAACACCAAGGATGAGAGAGAATCATTGATCAGCTGCCTCCCACATGCGCCCCCACTGGGGATTGAGCCCGAAAACCAGGCATGTGCCCTTGGCTGGAATCAAACCTGGTGCCCTTGGCTGGAATCAAACCTGGGACCCTTCAGTCCGCAGGCTGACGCTCTATCCATTGAGCCAAACCAGCTAGGGCAGTAGGGATCCTTTTAAAACAATCTTGTTTTCAAGAAAAAAAGGCTGAATTTGCTGAAACTTGTTTCTTTGAAGGTTAACTTTTTTTAAAAAAGCATACTAATCAATAGAAATAAAATAATTATTCCTTTTATCCCCACTCAGAGCCAACACACCTAGTTTACCAGCACCTGCATTTAGTACTTCACTTAACTTTGTAGAGATCGAAAGAGATTCCAGCAAAACCTACCACGAAATGGCATACGATGGTAATCAGCATCTAATGGTAAGCTCAGTTAAAAACTAAAAATGAAATTATTTCCAGTATAGTCTCAAATGTTTGCAATAATATTTTGGTGAAAGGGAAAACTAAATATTTTGTTGATATGAACCTCTTTTTGCCTATTCATATCAAGGAATGATTCTGTCTTTTAAATAAATATTTGGGCTACCTCCTGTAATTACATAAAATAATATTTCATTGTTACAGAATTCTTTTGCAGTCACATTTGTACGTTTTCAAACTGTTTTTTTCTAAATTTTATTTTACACTTCAATGGTTCTCTTTGCATGCCTTCCCTCTACATGTCTTTTTTTTTTTTTTTAAGAGAGAATCTTTTTTTTCTTTTTTTTTAATATATCTTATTGACTTTTTACAGAGAGGAAGGGGAAGGGATAGACAGAAACATCGATCAGCTGTCTCCTGCACACTCCCTACTGGAGATGTGCCTGCAACCAAGGTACATGCCCTTCGCCGGAATCGAACCTGGGACCCTTGAGTCCGCAGGCCAACGCTCTATCCACTGAGCCAAACCCGTCAGGGCAAGAGAAAATCTTTTTTAATATATATTTTTTTATTGATTTCGGAGAGGAAGGGAGAGGGAGAGAGAGAAACATCAATGATGAGAGAGAATCATTGATTGGCTGCCTCCTGCACGCCCCCCACTGGGGATCAAGCCCGCATCCCGGGCATGTGCCCTTGACTGGAATCGAACTTGGGATCCTTCAGTTGGCAGGCCAATGCTCTACCCACTGAGCCAAACCAGCTAGGGCCCATTTACATGTCTTTCAATGAGTCACTTGGGAATAAGTGACAGTGGGGTCTGGTGGCCAAATCACCCCAACCCTTACAGTGCTTTGGACTTTTCTTTTCCTATCTTTTATTTTTTGCAGACTCCATGGCTGCCCCGCACTGCACCAGTCCATCCACCCACCTAATTTGTGCTGTGCTGGGCCTGGGAGCCACCCCATCCTCCTCTCTGCCCAAGGTGTTTTTGCAGCCTCTGCTGCTCCTCTCCATAGCCAAAGCCCTTGATTCTGTGCTGTGCTCAGCTAAACCTTGGTCTGATGGCTTCTTAGGCACTGCTAGGACTCTAGCCTGGTCCTGGGACCAGGGTTTGAGGCAATCTGCACCTGAGTTTTTCTCTGAACTGTAGTGTGCTGAAAACTCAACAGATATCACCAAGTCCACATTTACATTTCTCTCCAGTGTCTGATGGGGAAAATGAAAATGGTGTCTTGGGTTAGATGGATAGTAGTCATTGGGGGGAACTTTTTTAAGCCACTCTATGGTTATATTTGTTTGTTAATAATATCTGAGGATATTATTTTCATTGATTTTAGAGAGAGTGAAAGAGAGGAAGGAAGGGAGGGGAAAGAGAGAGAGAAACATCAATGTGAGAAAGACACATTGATTGGTTGCCTCCTGCACAAGCCCCAATGGGGCCAGAGATCAAACCTGCAACCCAAGTACATGCCCTGGACTGGGAATCAAACCCATGATCCTTCAGTTCTCAGGCAGATGCTCTAACCACTGAGGACACCAGACCAGAGCATAATTCTTTTGTTAATAATGAAAATCTCAGAGAAGCTGTGTTCATTTAGGGAGAGCAGCCTCAGGAAAGATGTGATAGTACTGACTCAGGACTGAACAGCTGCCCTGCCTGGCCTCATGCTAGGTGTCAGAAATAGAATTGTCATTGGAGAATTTGTCATACCATAATCTGTTATTGTCAGTTATCATTTTGTTTGTTTATTCACTTAGGCTTAATAACCACCTAGATATTTTAGTGTTTGAATAAGTTCTGTTATAATCCACTTTATTATTTAGCTCTTCATGTCTCTCTATTTTTTCACTTCTTTTCCTTGTGTAAGTCTCACTAATTGTATTTTCATGGGTAGGTGGTAGATGAAGCTTTGACTATAGATGATTGTGCCTGTCATCCTGAATTTCTACCACTATCAGGTGAGTTTTCCCTGTAAATTGTTGCTGAGTTCATGTGGTGGTGTCTAAACTCCTGTGCCCCCAAATTCGCACAAGCCCCACTTATAGTTGCTCTGGTTCTCTTACATTGCAGTGCTTCTGCGTTAAAACATTGATTATTTATTTGAAACCAGTACTCCGTCTCTTCATGTTATTTAATAAATCTAATTTTGGAACTCAAACTAAAGTTAATGGAACAGAAAGATGAAGCTCTTCTTGGTTTCTATCTAATTTCTATTTGGCGAGTTGTTTTTTTAAAGATACATATTTTTATTGATTTCAGAGAGGAATGGATAGAGAAAGAGAGATAAGAACATCAATGATCAGAGAGAACCGTTGATCAGCTGCCTCCCCAACTCCCCATGTAGGGGGATCGAGCCCAAAACCTGGGCATGTGCCCTGACCATGATCTCCTGGTTCATAGGTCAACGCTCAACCACTGAGCCAAACCAGCAGGGCTCATCCTAGTTTACTTTAAATTGTCTGTGCTTGGTGCATGTGTTTGCTTATGCCCCTAGGAAACAGGCAGACACAGCAGGACCTCATAGACTCAGCATTGGCACCATGGGAAATGAAGGGCCCACAGAATATTCGCACTTCATTTATTTCTCAGTCTCCCTTGATACTACCAGATTTTGATGGAAATCGATCTAAAGTGGATTACATGCTTCCCTGCCTTTTAAACAGCTTAAGAAAATACAGATTTTCTTGATGACTTACTTAAGATAGTTGTTGTTAACCACAAGTTACTGATCTCCATCTTTCATGCGTTCCTTCCGGGTTCTTACAGGGAGATTGTGACCTTCCTGTTGCCCTCCTGTCCTTTGTTGGTGTTTTTGTTTTCTTTTCAGTGTTTGTGCTTCTGCAGTCCTGTCTTTTTTGGGCTCCCATGCCACATCCCACCACTTACCCTGAGCATTTCCATTTGGTTGGCACAGCAGCAGCATGATAAGGAGGGGAAGCTCAGGGGGCTGTCGTCCCTGATGTAGCTAATAGCACGTGAAAAACCTTTGAGGATAAAACATTTGTCAATATTTCTTGGGCAATTATCATCATACAGTACATTTAAATAATTTAAATACCATCCACACTTTAGCATCTACGTTCAGTAGAAGAAGTTGAGGTGCTGTGGTCAGAGTGCAGTGGTTTGCTTCAGGTCACACAGCAGAAGTCGCACTGGAACTCTTCTGCCTTTCCAGAGCCTCTTGCTTTCTGAGGCCACCAGGGCCAACTTAGGCTCCCATCCCGTCCTTGACCCAGGGGCTCTGACTTGCCTCTGCGTCTCTCCCCAAAGCTCCCATCAGGTCCACCTGACCCCATTACTCAGCTCTCTTCTGCACAACTTTGCACGTCTGTCCCCGCCCAGCGGCACACAGGCTCCCTCCTGCCAGGGGACAGGGGACAAGGCTGAGCTCATAGAGCTGGAGGAGCAAGAGGAAGCACGGGGCCTGTAACTCAGTATTTTTTTCTTCTTTTTAATGGGATTGTTGTTTAATTATTACAGTGACTGTCTTTTCTTGTCATCTAATTGTAAACTACTTGAAAACAGAAATTTAGCCTATATTTCTGTATCTGCTCTAGGCCTATATAATAATGACCATTATAATTTATAATAATTTCATAGCACACATAGACAAACATCATCAGTAGCTTCTTTTTTGGCTTACCTGTTTGTAGTTAACGCTCATGGTATTGCTTCCTTTGCTTTCTTATTCAGTTTACTTAACTATTATTTTACTTTCAAGCTCATAAATTTTTATATCCAGATTTGAGGAACAAATACTTTTGTATTCACAGGCCAACCGCCAAAATATAAAGGAAAACAAAAATCTCGAAACAATGAGTTGGAGTTCAGGTATGTTTTTATGTAAGGTTTTGTTTTTCACCTAATGTCCTCCTTCCAAGAAAAAAGAAAAAAAATCTCTTTCACGTAGTAGCTACCTTTACATATGTATATTATGTTGAGTACTAAAGTCCCTTTCAAATACCAAAGGCATGTCTTCAGAGACGATCATTTTTTACCAGAGAATTCTGAATCCTGAACGTTAATACTGATTTCTGAAAGTCATATTACAGCTATATTAGTATTAACATTTTAAAACTCCAAAATACATGCTCAGAAGAGGGAAAATATTCAGAGAAGTATAAAGTGCAAATTAGTCTCCTTCCCTACTCATCTTATTTCACTTCCCACACTTCTTCTCCGGTAGCTTCCGATAGGAACGCGCTGCTCACAATGTTGGCCGTCGGAAGCTCACTCTACAGACACAGCATGGGGATGTGCACAGGCCGAGGCCCTTTTAAGCAGTTACCACCGGAGGAAAGGATTTATTAATGAACCAGCCACTTATAAAATCCGTTCTACCGAACATGCCCCTTAAAACTAATGGTCGGAACTCTTGTCACTTATCTTTATAGTTAATCCCCCATCACCTACAAAATAGGAATTGACTGCAGAGTGGAATTATCAGTCATACAGTAGATACAGAAGTTTGTGAAGTTAATAAAAAGTGATGCTGGAGAAAGAAACTGCAAAGCCATTTCTGCTAATTATACCAGTTGTCAGTTTTTCCTCATTTCTTAAGGCTGATTCCTCAATAGATTCTTAAAGGAGAATGATTTGAATATCAAAGCACTAAGAGGAATGAGTAATGCCCATTAAAAAAAAAAAAAAAAAAGACCATTTTTTTCCTGCTGCTACAAAGTAAATACAAAGCTAGAGCATAGAATATTATGTAACTCTATTATTTCATAGAAAAATCCTGAGTCTTCCTCCTCACCTCGTGTGCCCCCCAGGAGAAACCAAAACCAAGTATATTTTCATTGTTTGAATGTATAGTTACAATTTTAACCGGTTTTGTTGAAGATAAATTTAGTTTCCTGATACTTTGTTTCTGTTTTCAAACAGAAGGCTTCTGATTTGATTATGTCTACCTCATGGGATTATTTAGTGATTAAGTGGGATGAACTGGAACATGGTAAATGCTCAGTACACATGACCATCGTTGGGATCACTGTCCTTTTCACTGTTGTTAGAACCATTCAGACTGACAGCTTGTTTTATCCCTTTCTAGTATCTTGTGTGTCTTTCCATAACAGACCATGGAAATCTACATCCTTCATTTTCATGGCTGCAGGACATTTTACCGCATAGATGTATATTCGGAGAAATTTCTAGAGTGGCATTGCTCTATCAAAGGAGATGCATAATTTTCTTTAAATTTTATTTACTGATTTTTAGAGAGAGAGAGAGATAAATATTGATATGTTGTTCCACTTATTTATGCATTCATTGGTTGATTGTTGTATGTGCCCTGACCAGGGTTCAAACCCACAATCTAACCAACTGAGCTACCCGGCCAGGGCCCAGGGGTGCGTAATTTCACTTTGATAGATATTGTCAAATTGTCCTACCAGAAAATTAATTACCTGGCACTTTTACACTCTTACTAAGCTGTGAGAGGGTGCGGAATAATAAAATGTATATCTGATCTTTGTCCCTGGTCCCTGGCACAGAGCTCCCTTGGAGTTTCCTGAAACAAGCCCCTTTCCACCCTACCTGAGATCATATTAATGAGGTGACTCAAGGCTGGGGCTCTGCATTCAGAATTGGGACTGGTCACTACAAAGACCAAGTATGTGATTGGAGGGTTGGACCTTTCAGCCCCATCCCCTGGTATCTGAGAAATTCAGGAAGGGGGCTAGGAATTAATTTATTCACCAATGGCCAGCAACTTAATCCTTTGTGCCTGTGTAATGAAACATTATGAAAATCTCTTTTCGGGGAGCTTTTGGGTGGGTGAGTACATGGAGGTGCTGGGCAGGTGGCCCACTCTGGAACAGCATGAAAGCTATCCATCACCCCCCTCTACCCAGCTCCCTTCCCATGTGTTTCTTTCATTGGAGTTTTCCTGAGTTACAAGCTTCATAGTAAACTGGTAAGTAGTAAGTATAATGCTTTCATGAGTTCTATGAGTCATTCTAGGGAATTGTTGAATCTGAACTGGGGTCACGGGAACCCTGAATTTGTAGTTGGCTCGGCAGAATTGTGGGTAGCCTAGGCACCCCGGTGTGGCTGGTCTGAAGTGAGGGCACCTGTGGGGCCTGCATTGACCCCAGAATTAATGTCAAAATTGAATGGAATTGTTAGACACGCGGTTGGTGTTGGAGAATTGGTGTGGAAAATGATAGGTATCTGGTCTCAAACACACACATCTAGTGTTAGAAGTGGTGTTGGAAGACGGAGAACTGAGTCTTTCTTCCCCTCACCAGCACGGGGTCCAGGCTTTCTGAAAGGTTATATCTCTTACTAGATTTTCCCATGAGAGGAGCGTCTGTGCAACATTTATTGGGCACATTTCTTGTTTCAGGACTACGTTGTCAAAGATAACTGTAGATCTGTAATAACTGGGTAATCAGCACACAAATTCCCCTTAATTTGTTTCAAAAGCTGTTTTTTCTATATCATCTTCATAATTAATTTATCTGGCCTCCCTCCACTTGTAATTTTACAGGGGTTTTTATTGAGATTCATTAGAGTTAGAGGTTAATCTGAGAAGAAATGGCATCATCGTAATATTTCAGTTCAGGAGCTTGTGACTCATTTGCTCAGTGTTTAAAATGACCTTCAGTAAAAGTATTTCTTCTTTATATAGCGGACTGTTTTATTTTAAATAATTCAACACAACACTCTTTTCTTTTAGTTATAGTTCACAAGGGAGTTTTCCAGCAGATTTGAAAAGCCTCTTGGAGAAACAGTTCTCTAAATCTTCCAGAGCTGCACACCAGGTACAGGAAAAGGCTTTTCCTGGGGAAAAAGCGAACTCTGGGAACAAACCACTTTTCACAAGCGCTAAGTCTAACCATGTACATCCCTAAGATTTGTTTTTTATACTTTTATTTATGGACATGTTACTTTATATGTGATTGCTAAGAAGCCAAACTATTGTTGATTTAGAAACTGACTTTTCAGTTATGTTATCCAGAGATTGAAGTAGCCATTGACACTGTAGAATTGTTGCTTCCCAAAGGAAACAGTTTGTTTCTTGTTCTGTTTTGCAGGACTTTGCTAATATAATGAAAATGTTGAGGAGCTTGATCCAGGATGGTTACACAGCTCTGCTGGAGCAGCGGTGCCGCAGCGCGGCCCAGTCCTTCTCGGAGCTGCTCAACGGCCTAGATCCGCAGAAAGTAAAGGTAGGATTGCCGTCTCCTAACTCGTCAGCAGTGCTGATGGCTCCAGATGCATGTGTAGGAGAATCCGGGCTCTCACTTCACTGTTACCAGTGCATCTTCTGCCCAGCGGAGACGGCCTGAATCTCCTTGGGCCAGGCAGTGAGGAGCAGGGCGCGCGCTGACCCAGCCTTCATGCCTGCACTCACCGTGCGCCTCCCTCCTTGCTCCCCAGTTGGTGTCCTTAGAACTCCTGGCCTTCTCTCTTGATAAACTACGAAAGCAAGGTTTTGGACCAGTTTTAGTCACATCTTCTCATTCAGAAAGAAAGTAATAGCTAGGCAGATACTTTATGCAAGGTTGTAAGGCAGCAAATAAATGTCTTCATCTGTCACTGGGACCCACAAACATTCAAAAGAGAGTAACTTCTGTTATGAACCACGCCTTCAAGGAACTCTGAGACAGTGAGTCTGTGTTTTAAATACTTGATAGCAGTGTATTTTTGCAAAATATATTTTCTAATTCAGTTTGACCTTTATCTCAATCATAGTGATTAGTGAGATTTTATTACACTTTTTTTCTGTTGTGGCTAACAGGGTGGTATAATGCAAATTGGGCAGAATTATCTTCCGATTTTTAACTCAAATGTTTTTATTGACAGCAATTGAACCTGGCCATGATTAACTATGTGTTAGTGGTCTACGGACTTGCTATTTCTCTCCTTGGAATAGGACAGCCTGAGGTAAGATTTGTAACAGGAATAATAAACAACTTAAATATGTCATTGATTTTAGAAGATATGTAAACACAGTTGTTTTCCCATCGCGATTCTTTTATTCTTGGCAGAGCAGTAATAAGTATGTTATGTTTGCTTTTTTGGATTGAAGAGATAGTTTATTACATTTGCGTTTTACTTTGAAGTAGTGAGACTGATCACAGAAATAAAACCATGTGATAGAACTTGAACCTTTAAAAGAATTTCATCATTCAGACTAGCCCCGGCCAGAAGGAAGCGATAAACTTACTCCAGTACAGCCCTTGCTTAACACGTTAAGCGCCAGGCCTGTTTTGTCTTCCTTTCCGTTTAGCCCGCGATACCCAATTTCACTGATACGCTGGCAGTCGGAGATTGATGAGGTCCAATCGGAAAATGTAGTGTCAGCCACTGGTGACTGACGTGCGCTTAACGTGTTAAGACATGTTTGCAATGCCTCCTTTGGAACTGGCCTCAAAGCTTCTAGCAAACTCCATTTTGTGGTGACATTTCTTTTTACACCCACAATGGGGTTAGCAGTGTTGCCTGGAGCTAAGTGTGTTTGGATTTTTTTCAAAACAAAATTCATGTAAAGCAGAGTTTTCCACAGTTGAGAATATTCAAAAGAACACACTTCTGTCTGTGAAGCTGTTACTAAAGGGCTGGTTTTAAGGTTGAGCATTTGTCTGCCTGATGCCCCAAAGCACGTAGCAACATCATTGGCATGCCTCTGCCCCCAAGGGGACAGCACTCAGCCAGGATATGTGCACGGTGTCATTGTCTACATCAGCCTTTGTACCGTGAAGTCACATGTGTGGTGACTGCCAGCACCACTGGCCTCTGTGTGGGTGTAAACGCTCATCTGGTTGGTGATTTGATGTGTTCAGTGCCAGCTTTTCATTCTGGAGCTGAATCACTTTGGGTGTGAGTATCGTACATATGGTCACAATTTATAAATTGCTAAGAAAATGAAATCTGGAAGGTGTAATTTTGCCAGAGAAGTTTTGGACAGATAGTTGTTTTTAATGTTACAAAAAGAATCAGCCTTCAGATAAAAATCACGTCCAGCATTTCTTTTGTGTGTGATTATTGTTCTTACTGCCTTTGAAGGAATTATCTGAAGCTGAAAACCAGTTTAAGAGGATGATTGAACACTACCCCAATGAGGGCCTCGATTGCTTGGCCTACTGTGGAATTGGAAAAGTGTACTTGAAAAAAAACAGGTTAGTAAATGTCCTAATAAAGTAAAAATTAAAAAAATAAATTTCTATATTTATGGTATATCTATGCAGTGATTTATCAAATGTATTCTTTTTTATATATTTTTTTTTTATTGATTTCAGAAAGGAAGGGAGGGAGAGAGAGAGAAACATCAATGATAAGAGAGAATCATCAACTGGGGGGCCTCCTGCACGCCCCCCACTGGGCATTAATTCGTATGTGCCCTGACCCGAAATCGAACTATGACTTCTTGGTTCATAGGTCAACACTCAACCACTGAGTCACTCTGGCTGGGCTCAAACGTACTCTTACTAGTTAGCTTGGTATCTCTGACTTTTGTTGTGGGAATGAAAATTCTTGACATCTTTTCATACCTTTTTTTTCATTATTATGACTAGGTTTCTAGAAGCTCTTAATCACTTTGAGAAAGCAAGAACCCTGATTTGTCGACTCCCTGGAGTGCTAACTTGGCCCACAAGTAATGTGGTTATCGAAGAGACTCGGCCAGGGAAAATAAAGGTAACCATTTCTTTCTGCAGAGAGCTCTGACTAACTGTGAAAGCCCGCCTACACTGACTGGCTCAGGTGTCAGAAAAGGAGATAGCATTCTGGCCTCAGCTGCCCCACAGGTGTTTCCCCTTTAAGGACTAGTGAGAATTAACTAACATTTACTGAATGTTTTCTATTGCCAGTCACATACCTGCCACATTTCATTACCTTCAATCCTTACAACAGTCCTACAGATGAGTACTATGATTTATCCCCATTTTATGGAGGGAAAAGATTAAGTTTAGAGAGGTTAGGTAATGAGCTCAAGGTTAAACAGCCAGGAAATGGTGGAGCTGGGCTTGAATCCAGGTGTTCTGATTTCAGTGTGCATTCTTAAGCAGAAAGGTATGCTGTCCCTCGGAAAGGTGTAGCTTTGCTGTTTCATCATAGTTACTGTCATTACTGAGGGGTACTCGAAGACTCAAAGTATAAATTTAATCTCAAATCCAGAAGCAGAGGATGCTTTGCTAGTTTTTGAGAGACTAAATTATGTGTAAATTGACTAGGATAGGCCTTTAGTTGTGGGGAACCTGGGCACGTACTAAGAACTGGCTTTTGTCCAAAGCTTTTAAAAGCATAGGGGTCAACTCTCACAACTCAATGATAAAAAGACAACTAAACTAATTTAAAAGTACCCCAAGGATGTGAATAGGCGTATCTGTCAAGAAGTTATACAAATAGCCAGTAAGCACATGAATGGTGTTCAACAACATTACCTACCAGAGAAATGCACATTAAAACTATAGTGAGATACGACACCCATTGGGATGGTTATCTTCAGAAGGCAACCAAGAATAAGTGTTGATAAGGATGTGAAGTCAGAACCTCCTGCGTTGTTGTGGGCGGTGCCATTGCTTTGAGAAAATAGTCTGGCACTTCCTCAGTGGGTTAAAGAATGAGTTATTCTGTGACCCAGCAATTCCATTCCTGGATATATACAGAGATAACACATGTTCTCACAAAAACTTGTACATGCCCTGACCAGTTTGGCTCAGTGGATAGAGCGTCGGCCTGCGGACTGAAGGGTCCCAGGTTCGACTCCGGTCAAGGGCATGTACCTTGGTTGTGGGCACATCCCCAGTAGGAAGTGTGCAGGAGGCAGCTGATCGATGTTTCTCCCTCATCGATGTTTCTAACTCTCTATCCCTCTTCCTTCCTCTCTGTAAAAAATCAATAAAAAATATATATATATATATATATAAAAAAAAACCTTGTACATGAATGTTCATAGCAACATTATTCACAGGAGGCAAAAAGTGTCCATCAACTGATGAATGGTTATATAAAATATAGTCTGTTTATACAATTGAATATTATTCAGCCCATAGAATGAAGTACTCGCATGCTACAACATGATCGAATCTTGAAAACATTATGCTAAGTGAAGCCAGACACAAAGGCCACAGATTGTAGGATTCCATTTGATTGTAGGATTCCATTTATGTGAAACTAGAGGCCCAGTGCACAACATTTGTGCACTGGGGGCGGGGGGTCCCTCAGCCCGGCCTGCACCCTCTCGCAGTCCGGGACCCCTCAGGGTATTTCCAACTGCCGGCTTAGGCCTGCTCCGGGTGAGCAGGGGTCCTTAGCACTGCCGCAGAGTCGGGAGAGGCTCCCACGACCGCTGCTGCCCTCGCCAGCCGTGAGCCCAGCTTCTGGCTGAGCAGCGCTCCCCCTGTGGGAGCGCACTGACCACCAGAGGGCAGCTCCTGCATTGAGTGTCTGCCCCCTGGTGGTCAGTGCACATCATATGACCGGTCGTTCCACTATTTGGTCAATTTGCATATTAGGGTTTTATTATATAGGATCTTCAGAACAAGCAAATCTACATGGAGACAGGAAGTAGATTAGTGGTTGGGAGGAGCTAGGAATTGAGGGAAATGGGGAGGGGTTGCTAATGGTTATGGGGTTTCTTCTTGGGTGATGAAAATGTTGTAAATTTAGACTGTGGTGATAGTCATACAACCGTGTGAATGTACTAAAAACACATATGTGAATTGTATGGTTATGTGAATGATATCTTACCCAAAGCTGCTATTAAAAAAGTTGTAAAACAAAGGATCGTTGTGTTTTCCTCTTTAAACTAGATTGGGATGGAGGCATGGGAACTATTGATAACAAAGGTGCAGGAGCAGGGGGGTCATTCTCAGGGCATGCCGGGAGCCGGTCCATCCTTGCTGTTTCAAGGGACCTGGCATATATGGCATACTGTTCTTAATATGTTTGCTCACCTTCTTGGCACTATGTGTTTTAACCAAGGTCTCTGAGAAAGGTTGTTTCCCCAGGTAGGGATTTTCCCCTGAAGTTAGGGAGGGAATAAAACCTCTTAACTAAGTGCCAGGCGGGTAATTAATCACTTTACGAACAATCGTGCTTAAGCTACATAATCTTTACTCCCTGGAATGAAGATAAGAAACACCCTAACCTTTGTAATAGAGATTGATAGGATTGGAATCAACTGGTATAAATACAGATGTAAGAAGACAGAACCTACACACAGAACTTAGGAGGCACAGAACCTACACAGAACGTTCTCTAGAGACAGAAGAACTTCGCTGGAGAGAACATGGCAAAAGATCCTGGACAGAAACTGGCCTCAGAACCTAGAGACAGAACCTAGCGAGAGAACATGGCAAAAGATCCTGGACTGAACCTGACTACAGAAATTGGCAAGAGAACCTGACTAGAACCTGGTGACTGAACCTGGCTGGAGAACCTGGACAGAACCTGGCTGGAGAACCTAGCGAGGGAACATGGCTACAGAACCTGGCTGGAGAACCTGGAGAACCTAGTAAGAGAACATGGACACAGAACCTAGCTGGAGATCCTAAGCAGAACTTCGCTGGAGATCCAGACCAGAACTTGGCTGGAGATCCTGGCTAGAGATCCTGGCTAGGCTGCTGATCAACTGAACGCTGTCTCCGTGTCATTCCTTCTTCACCGACTCCATCCACACCTTTGGGGACCCCTGGACCTGCTGGGGTTGTACCCCGGCAAGGGCAAGAACTAGCGCAGGTGGCAGGGCCTCCGGGAGGAGGCGGGTGAGGTGCTAGGATCCCAGGTGAAGCACCCTTAGGCTCAGGAGAACAGTAGAATACTAAGGGAGTTTCACCTTAGGACTCCCTCTGGATGCTTAAAGGAGATTTCTATGAGTTACATATTGTACAATGAGGTTTGATGGTTATAACAGGATAAGATTTTGATTCTGACTTTGAAATTCTGAAAAAGCGTTTTAGTTCTTGTCCCCCTCCCCCACCATTCCATCATTTTCTCTGGACACGTCTCTGTATCGGCCTCCATTAAAAAGTGGTATGTAGTTTGTTCTTGGCTAAACATTTAGTCATTTCTAGGATGAAAATATTTTAACAGCAAGAAGTTATTGAAATCACAAACATTTTGATTGACAAATGAGTGTTGTAACAGTATCTTTTTTGTTTTAGATGCTCTTAGAGAAATTTATTGAAGAATGCAGGTTCCCTCCAGTGCCAGATGCTGTTTGTTGCTATCAGAAGTGCCATGGATATTCCAAAATCCAGATATACATCACAGATCCAGACTTTAAGGCAAGTAATGACTGTGCATTAGGACATTAACTTGCACAGTTGTGCCTTACAATGAATTTAGAACCAATCCTTTAATTGGAGGCACCCAAGTTCTCTGGGGTGCCAGCAGTTTTATGTCCTGTTGCCCACCCCTCCCCCTGGACTTCTTTAGGTCTGCATCATCTCACATGGGAACCCAGAGCCACTGAAATTAACACTGAGGGCCAGTTGGCTAATTCCATTTCCCCTTTCTAGCCACTGTGCCATCAACTGCCTATTCCTAGGAACACAGGAAACAAAACAAGGTTATTACCTCTGATTTGTTGCAATTCTGTCTCTTGTAAAATTGGACTCCAAGAACAAAAGGCCATTGTTGACCGCTGAATTGGCTCTCAGAAACCTAAATTTGAGATCAAGTCTGGCACATAATTGAGTGAATAAGTTACTGGGCCTTAGTTGATTCAAGAAGATAATAAGCTGCCCATTGTGGCACTGTCCCTGGTTAGAGCTGAGATGGAATATTGTTTATAAAATATTTTATATGTTGTAAAGAATAATGCAACTGTAAGCTATGAAAGTGAATATGTCAGCCAAGCTCTGTATCTCTGGCGCTAGGCATTCTAGGTACAGAGTAGTATGCTCCCCCATGAGGAAATGTATCTAGTTGTGTCTACCAGAGGAATGCAAACAGCTCTCTCTTTATCTTAATACTAGAGGCCCAGTGCAACAAATTCGTGCATGGGGAGGGGTGTCCCGCAGCCCGGCCTGCACCCTCTCCAGTTGGGACCCCTCAGGGGATGTCTGACTGCTGGTTTAGGCCCGATCCCACAGGGACCACTGGCTCCTAACCGCTTGCCTGCCTGCCTACCTGCCTACCTGCCTGATCGCCCCCTTACCGCTCCCCTACCGGCCTGATTGCCCCCAACTGCCCTCCCCTGCTGGCCTAATCGCCCACAACTGCCTTCCCCTACCGGCCTGATCGCCCACAACTGCCCTCCCCTGCTGGCCTGATCGCCCACAACTGCCTTCCCCTGCCACGACCTGCCTCCTCCGCTGGGACTAGCCTCTGCGCTGCGCAGAGCCATGGGACCCCCAGGCCTCACCACGCAAAGCATCCGCCGGGTCCCGCCTCCGCTGTGCATGCGGCCATCTTGTGATGACATGAGGGCGTGATACCACCTAGGCTATTATTAGTATAGATGCATTGTGAGTGAGTTAGAGAGAGAGTGTGTGTGTGTGAGATAGAGACAGCACCTTTAAAATGTGAATTAAACATTGTTTTAACCCCCCAGGGTTTTATCCGAATCAGCTGTTGCCAGTACTGCAAAATAGAATTTCACATGAACTGTTGGAAGAAGTTAAAAACAACAACCTTTAATGATAAAATTGACAAGGTAAGGCTAATAAGATTCTCTGGGTGTTTTGTTTTTCTAATATGTTTTTAATGATTTCAAAGAGAGGGGAGAGAGAGAGGGAAACATCAGTGATGAGAGAGAATCATTGATTGGCTGCCTCCTTCACACTCCACACTGGTGATGGAGCCCCCAATCCAGGCATGTGCCCTGACTGGGAATCAAACCATAACTTCCTGGTTCATAGGCCGACAGTCAACCACTGATCCACGCCGGCTGGGTACTGTGGCTGTGTTTTTGTGTCTGAATTGAGGTTTCCTGGTACATATTCTTGTGACAGAGGATAAAGATCAAGGGCCAGTCCATTCAGCGTTTCTTAAGCTTTTGTTGGGACATGCTTGGTGTATGTCCTGTCAGCTCTTCTTGCACTGACCAAAGCAAGTCATTCCTTTTGCAGGGAGGCTCCGCAGGTCCCATGGCAACAAGCAGGGACTTTCAATGCCGCCCTGAAGGAGGTTTCTGATGACATTTTAACCATTCCTGATGGTTACAGTAGTATACATGTTTAGATTTATTTTGATACGCAGCACACTTTTTTTTTTTTAATCAAATAGGATTTTCTACAAGGAATTTGTCTTACCCCTGACTGTGAAGGTATCATCTCTAAGATTATCATCTTCAGCAGTGGTGGTCAAGTTAAATGTGAAGTAAGTATCTAATTAAGGGGAAATCTTATTAAATTGACAATGAGAATGCTTATACCTTTTGAAGCATGATTTAAATTTATGAAAGTTGAATGATTTGGATTTGTCTTTTCTAGGAAACAGTTTCTTAATTTCAGACAATATACAAACAATTAGGATGTGAGAATGCTTCTTTGCAATAAAGGATTCTCACATTCTTTTATTTCATAGCAGGAAAAGGAGGCTTTTACAGTTTAGTTTTACTGTTATCACTTTTTTTATAACCTTGTTTTCTTTATTCCCAGTAAACTTCTGGGTGTTTGGGGGTGAAGGTACTTAGGGAGGGGAGGAGTGTCTTAAGGGATTGATTACCTTTACCTGGTCTATATGGAGGTGGCAGGAGTGGGTTGTTATAATGATACTAGGGGCCCAGTGCATGAATTCATGCACCTTGAAGCAGCTGTGGGCTGCAAGGCTGCAGTGGGCGCAGAGGCGGGTCTTGACCCATCCTCCACACCCCCGCCCGGCCCCTCCTTCCACGTCTGTCTGCTGGCAGCCCCACTCCCACCACCGCTGCTCCCATGCATTGATGGCGCCGGCCCTGCTCACACCCACTGACAGCGCGGAGCGATTTCGGCTGGCGCCAGCAGTGGGTGAGAGTGGGACCAATGCTGTCAGCAGGTGTGAGCGGTGGCTGCTGCCCCGATCGCCCCTCAGGAGTAGGGGGAGGTGGAGAAGCCCTTAGGGGCAATCAGGGGCGGTAGCCGCCACTCACACCTGCTGATGGCACCAAATTTTCGGGGTCAGCGCTGGGTGCCAGCAGCAGGTGGGAGCAGCAGCTCTGGCACTGGTAGCGGGTGTAAGCGGGGCCAGTGCCGGCAGCAGGTACCAGCGCCCGGCGGGATCGTGGCACATGGGAGCAAAGAATTTTTAGTAACCACTAGAGGCTCGCCCCAATGACAGCGCCTTGGTCTTGTGCCCCTGCTCACCTGCTCCACCATCCTGCCACGGTCGATGCCTGCCGTGTTCCGCACACGCCCCCTGGTGGTCAGTGCACGTCATAGCAACCAGTTGCTCGGTTGTTTCGCTGTTCAGTCTATTTGCATATTAGGGTCTTGTATATATAGATTTGTAGTTTATTTGATCTCCGCTTACTTTTAATTTGAAAAACATTAAAACATCTTGCTAAAGTGTCTGTACTCTCTTGTTTCTCTTTTCAATACATTATTTTATTAAAGTTTTCTGGGCTTTTGTCTGGGTCAGAGCATCATCCCTGTTCTCTGCCAAACTGACCATTGACTGTGTGTGCTTCTGAAATGCTTGTTTCTTGTGGTTTTGTGCTTTATGTCCTGGGAGTATAAGACAAATTTCTGGTATCTTTGTTTTATTTAAAGTTTGAACACAAAGTCGTAAAAGAAAAGAAGGTTCCTTCAAAACCTATTCTGAAACAGAAATGTTCTAGGTAAGATTTTTAACAATCCATCACTAGCTTCATGATGTCTTTTACAATATAATTTCTAAATTATGCTGTTTTCGAATTGGCTGTGCACACATGTCCAATTAAGTGGTTTTAAAATGCCTTTTATGGATATTTAAAATTTAAAGAGAACTAGCCTGGAATGGTTAAATACTGAAACGTGAATCATAGACTTATTTAGTGGTTGAATTTACAAGTAAAATTATGACATTTAACGTTGTGAAATGACGTTTCATTAATAGATTTGGCAGTTGGATAAAAATTGTATACTTAGCTCACAGGTGTTTAAACTTTAATTCCAAAAGCATAGTTTCTTGTTATCTCTCTTCAGCAAACATTTTGAACCAGTGACTTATTTCTCACACTGAAATACTCAATGTACTGTCAAAATTATTTCCTTCTTTGTATTTTCTTGTTCAGATCAAATAATTTCAATGTTTTTTGCTTTTCTTTTTGGTCCTGCCTCTTGTTTTCCATTCTAATAAGTGATTTTTTTCATCATTGGTGACCAAGAAAAAGCAAAAGAAAAGAGGAACAGACTTATTTGTTGAAGAGAATTCATTGTAACCATATTAACCAAATTCCGTAGTTGTGGGCCATTATTGGGATATGAAAATAATAGTTTACTGTGGGATCTTTTATTTTAAATAAGTGTGTACATGTATTATCTTTCAGAGTAATTTTTATTATTCCTATTCACCTTAAGCAGTAACTTGTGAACATGGAAATAATATCTGTGCCATCTGTATGTGCCATCCTTAGTGAAGCCCCTCAGCCCCCTGAAGCCCTGGTTTTCATGAAACAAGTACCGTTAGTTTGACTGCATTAACCACGTGTCAGCAACTTTTGATCTTGAACAGAAGATGCAGGCTAAACTCTGACTAGAAAGGAACACTCCTAACTTAACTGCTTAGAGAATGCTTTCTATAGTAGCCAAAGGAAAATAGTTGGATTTATAACAGGTGAATTATCACTAATTGTAAATGTTTATCAGCCTAGAGAAGCTAAGACTGAAAGAAGACAAAAAATTGAAGAGAAAGATCCAAAAACAGGAAGCAAAAAAATTAGCACAAGAAAGAATGGAAGAGGACTTAAGGGAAAGTAATCCACCCAAAACGGAAGAGCAGAAAGGTATGCTGGAGTCCAAGGCATAATAACGCTAATGTATTCTCGCCTAGACTATAAATGTGAATACTCATCCTATTGGGACTTAGGTTAATTGTTACTGAATTGAAATTTAGGTTTCCGTTAATATTTTAATACTGTCACGGGAGCAAATGGTACACAGAGCACTGATTTTGGAAGCAGTACACAGGGATTCAAAACACTACCTGCCGCCAACCTGGGGCAGACTGTGAGTTTACTCTTTGCTGAACTGAAGGTGGAAACAATGTTTGACGATGGTCTGTAGACTCCACTATGTGGATTTAGGTCCTAAAACTGTGAACTATGAAATCACTACTAATTATCTGAAATAATGCTGAGTTCAAATGAAGCTATTCAGAAAAAGTACCGTAGAGATTGCCTAGTACAGCCTTTTTGTTTTATGTTCATCTTGTCATCATTCCATGATCAATGTGGGAACATATCTGGTAATTTCACTATTTCTGTGGACATGTTGGTCTGTATGTATACTTCCAGATGACTGGAAGTAAGTTATTCTCATTTTCTACGATGGCCATCTATACAATAAAATATTTCCTCTTGCTGTCTTTATTTTTTTCATCTAGTATTCCATTAATGTTTCACAAATCAACCAAAATGATCTTTCTTACTGAAAAAGTTTTCAGTGAATGTTGGTATTTTAACTTCGCGTGCTACAAGAAGCTAAATGGCCATCCTGTAGGAAGAGAGTGGACAGGACGATGAACTTCTGAGATATTTTCTGACTAGTAGTCAATGCGTCCATAGGTCTGCAATTTAGGATCCAACAATAAGATGAATAATAAGAACTGCCAAATATTAATTGAATCTGTAACTGAATAAATGATCCCTTTAACTCCAAAAAACCCCTTAGTATTCTTAATGACTAAACATGTTTACTGGGTATAAACATGTTATATTGGATATAAAATTTATAATTTTAGGTAGTTGATGAAGCTGGGTTAGAATGGTTGAGGGAAGTAACTTTATTTTAAAAGGATACAATTTCAGATGTTACACGAGTGGTACAGAGTGAAGGAGATAAGGTACTTTTTCTGTGTTTTGTTGAACGTGAACTTCTATATTTTTTAAAGGTATTGTTAAATACAGGGTGGAGCAAAAACGTACCCTCGTGACTGAGCGAAACACAGAGTTTATTCTTGTATTATATTTATTAATTATTGTATTATTTCCTATATGAACAACTGTACACGTACTTTTGCCCCACCCTGTATTTAGATTCCTAATTTAAAGTTTCTTGAGTTGTTTATTTAAAACAACATGAAGAATTCATCTGCGCCATGTTTATATTGCTCTGTAATGTTACAGCATTTCTCTCGAAGTTTCTGTCTCTGCAGGTTGGTCCTATTTCTCACTGTAACTGACCGCTGTGGTTTATCCTTAGAAACTGTGGCCACTGCTGAGAGCTGTCAGTTCCTGGACGACAGGATCTTGCAGTGCATCAAGCAGTATGCCGACAAGATCAAGTCCGGGGTGCTGAACGCGTCCACGCTCCTCAAAGAGCTGCTCTCCTGGAAGGTTTTGAGCACAGAAGACTACACAACCTGTTTTTCCAGCAGAAATTTTCTAAATGAAGCGGTGGACTATGTCATTCGCCACTTGGTTCAAGAAAAGAATAGAGTCAAAACAAGGCTATTCCTGCACGTTTTGAGTGAACTTAAAGAAGTGGAGCCAAAATTAGCTACTTGGATCCAGAAACTTAATAGCTTCGGTATGTCATTCACTTTTAGAGATGCAGTTTAGTAGAAAGGACACATGTGGGCCTCAGAGTCTTTTTTTTGTTTTCTTGTCGTTGTTTATGATTTTTTTTAAAGTAGGACTACAAGTGAGTCTGGTTAAAAATACTGTTTTTCCAACTCACAATTTATAGCTTATTTTACAGAAAGGTTATAATATACACTTTCAAAAGGTGTAAACACAAAAAAGTTCAGTCAGTTAGAAAATCCAGTCCCGTATTATGTTAAGTATTTGTAAACGTGTAAAATGTAAGAACTGCCGAAACCGGTTTGGCTCAGTGGATGGAGCGTCGGCCTGCGGACTGAGAGGTCCCAGGTTCGATTCCGGTCAAGGGCGTGTACCTGGGTTGCGGGCACATCCCCGGTGAGAGGTGTGCAGGAGGCAGCTGATCGATGTTTCTCTCTCATCAATGTTTCTAACTCTCTATCTCTCTCCCTTCCTCTCTGTAAAAAATCAATAAAAATATATTTTAAAAAAATAAAAATAAAAATAAAATGTAAGAACTGTAAATACCGGGCCCAGCCATGGGTACATAGCACCCCTGTCCACCCCCTGTCGTGCCCTCTGGGTTCCTGTGGTTCAGAAGTCTGATTCCATAATGGAAAAGTTAGAGGGAAGAATGGATAAAATACTTGCTTAGGATCACCCTAGGCAAATCTGTGCTCAGGACTAACCATCTCTAAGGATGAGGAGAAAAGTACCTGTGTTGTTGTAAATCACGGGCTTATAAAACTGTTCCTCTCTCTTGATTTTCCTGGTTTGGCTGAGGAAGGCCCAACCAGGCTCTTTGCCCAAGGCCCTCAAGCAGGCACTGGGGAAGGCGGCTGCAGGCAGAGTTGTAGTCTAACCATTTCCTGTTTTAAAGGGTGTTTGGGAATATTACTTTTTGTGCATATTACTGATGTTTTATTACTATGGAATATGTGTAGTAAAGCATTATAAAATCTTGCTAGTTTGTACTGATTGGAATGAAAGTCATTATGAATTAGTGAGAAGGTTATTGCTGTATCTGTAAAGGAATTTAATTCCTTTTTCTAAGTTTAATAAAAATAACTAATAATAGAAGCCTTTGGCCCACTTTATTCAACTAATAGATATGAATTATTGCAATTAGCATGTCCATGTTAAGTGGTGTTTATGAAATGTATAATAGCTTAAACAAGTTTATTCTCAAGTATTTACATGTTTTCACTGCAATTGTAAGCAAACTGTAATGGAACCATTTTCAAGATGTGAGGGTGAATGTGGTTTTGCAGTAAGTGGTTTTCCATCTGATTTGGGTTTGGTTTTTATCACAGGCTTAGATGCCACAGAATCTTTTTTTTCTCGTTATGGAGCATCTCTCAAGGAGCTTGATTTTAGCATCATGACTTTTCTCTGGAATGAGAAGTATGGTCATAAACTAAACTCTATAGAAGGAAAGCAACTTGACTATTTCTGCGAGTCGGCATCATTGAAGGAAGCCCGGTGTCTGATCTGGCTGCTGGAAGAACACAGAGACAAGTTCCCAGCCTTGCATAATGCGTTAGACGAGTTCTTCGATATCATGGGTATGTGAGTCGAGTTTCCGTGTATATTATACCTAAACTTGGGGGGGAATGTGTATTTGTGGAGGGTAGTGATTAAGAATAGTACTTTTTTTCATGTTAAAACCTTTTTATTCTATGGAACTCAGTGTTGTGGACATATTCAGATCACTGTTCTCATCTTAGTTTGACAGTATAGTGGCAGAGATTGCATGTTGACAGAATTTATTACGAAATGGGTTTGATCTGGAGCAGTCAAGAAAATGGCTGCAGAAGGTGATGTTTTCAGAACCTAAAGCAGACAGACGGCACCTCTGCTGTGGGAGGAGTGGGAACTGCGAGTCAGGAATAGTGGGCTCTGACTCACTTCTCCCCTCATTCCTTAAAAAGCTTGTTTTTATGCTGCTTTGCGGCCCATGCTAGTTGTTAACAAGGAATTGAGGAATGCTTCCGCTCTTCCTTGCCCTCAGGACCTTTTGCTCTACAAAAGGGAATAAGATGAATATACGTATAATGTGGGGGTAAGCCCAGTGAGAGAAGAGTGGGTAAGTGGGTTCAGACGTAGGAGTGAGCACATGCATTCTCCCGGGAAGAGGAAAGCCTGGTGTGGGGGTGGGGTCCGAGCTGGAGGTGAAATTGGACAGAGTGACCTCCAGGCCTAGAGAGGATGGAGGGCAATCAGGGACCTGTGTGGGTAAGGGCTCGGAGTGCAGTTTGGCTGAATATGATAACTGGTGGTTAATTCTTTAGCTTCTCTCGATTCATAGCTTCTTCTTCATTAAAATAAGAGAATTTGGAGCCAGTGATCTGTGTGGTCCCATTTTGCTTAAATTATAACATTTTAGATTCTAAATTAATTTGAATTTCTTATTTTTGCTACTACATGTATGTCTTAGGGTAATGCCTCTCCCCTTCCCCCATCATCAGAAGTTGACTTTATTGTTAGGCATTAGACTTGGAAATTTCGTGGTGTTTGTTTTAAAATGTACATTAAAAGTCTGGCCCTGTAGCCGAGGCCGGTTTGGCTCAGTGGATGGAGCGTCGGCCTGCGGACTGGGGGGTCCCAGGTTCGATTCCGGTCGGGGGCATGTGCCTGGGCTGCGGGCACATCCCCAGTGGGAGATGTGCAGGGGGCGGCTGGTCGATGTTTCTCTCCCATCGATGTTTCTAACTCTCTCTCTCTCCCCCTTCCTCTCTGTAAAAAATCAATAAAATATATTTAAAAAAAAAAAGTCTGGCCCTGTACAAAAATGTCACCTGTTACAAAGTTCAAATGCATGCAGGGAACCAAAGGCTTGCTTTTGCTGTGGTGCTTGTGAAGAGCGCACCCACGTAGGAAGGCTTTATTTCTCCAGGACTCTCTCCGTGACTGGAGTGACAGGGCACAGGCAGCCTGGATGCACTCCGTCCGTTTGCTGCTGCTGCCAGGAAAAGGCTGTCCCGGGACTGAGCTTGCCCATCCCAATGCATGTTTGGGTCACACCACCGGACAGCTGAAAAGGACACAGTTCCCACTGTGTGCATTTTTCCCATTCTGGTGTTCTGTACCTAAAATGCACAGACCACCGGGCTGTAATCCTTTCTCTGCTCTCGGCCAGAGAGTCGGAAGCCAGCAGCAAATGACTGGCCAACAGATTTTCAGGTCCCGTAGCTCTGCCTCTCACCTTTACCCTGACATTTTCAGTTTCGTCTCCTTTCATTAGAAGTACTTATATTTCTTTAAAGTTTAAAAAGTCCATGGATCTTGTAGATAAAGATATTCACTGACATCACCAATGCTATGGTGGTTGGGAGCCCCAGCCTGCCTCCTGAAGTCTGGGCGCATCTTCCCTGTTGGACTGTCTGTGTAGAAAGCCAAGAGGTCCCTGGAGAGCAATGTGTCTGAACTCGTTTACGCCCCACTTACTGAATCTATCTCGTCAGTAACGTGGCCATATACCCAGTTTTTAAGCAGGAAGCCTGGAATGGGTCTCGATTCTTCCTGCTCCCTATTACTCCAGACCTCGTTTGTCAGCAGTCCAAATGAGCTTCATCTTGGATCTCTCCTTCCCTGTCCATCCCACTTCCTAGCCAGGAGCGCAGTGGTCTTTCCATGCACTAGTCAGTAGCCTCCAAACTGGTCTCCATACCTAGACCCTCCCCCTCCAAATCTTCCTCCTAAATTGCCTCTAGGGCAGTGGTTCTCAACCTTCCTAACGCCGTGACCCTTTAATACAGCTCCTCATGTTGTGGTGACCCCCAACCATAAAATTACTTTCGTTGCTACTTCATCACTGTAATTTTGCTACTGTTATGAATCGTCATGTAAATATCTGATATGCAGGATGTATTTTCATTGTTACAAATTGAACATAATTAAAGCATAGTGATTAATCACAAAAACAATAGTAATTATATATGTTTTCTGATGGTCTTAGGCGACCTCTGTGAAAGGGTCGTTTGACCCCCAAAAGGGTCGTCGTGACCCACAGGTTGAGAACCGCTGCTCTAGGGACTCTTGAGGAACATCTGTCTGATCCTGTAACTATTATCTTTGGGAAGCACTTGCTTAGTTTGCCTACAGATTAAATTCACATCATGTATCTGGGCTCTTCGTCACTCTGCCCATCTGCCTTCTGAATCGACACCACACCAATGACTGTGTCCCAACCTGCACTATGCTTTCCTGCCTCCTGTCTTTGCTCATCCAGTTCCTCCAGCCACATCCCATCCCGTTGCGTGTTCATTTCAAGCCCCTTCCTCCCCAAAGCCCTTGCTGATCCCTCTGGGCCTCTCCCCTTGAAGACTTCATTATTCCGTCAGCTTTGCTCCCATGTATTTATTGTGGGAGTTAGCACACTGGGTGGCAGGCATCTGCCTGGTTGTCTTTTTTGTAGAAACAGGTGTGTGGGTGGCAGGGACTGTTTTGTGCATCTCTATTCCCAACACCTGGCATAGAGTTTGGCACCTAGAAGGCACTCAAATTATCCTGAAATGGGTTGAAATTTTGTGGTTCTTTGAAGCTGGTCTCCCATTTAGTTAGCCATTTCACCCTTGCCTCCTAAACTAGACTTGTGTCAAAGCCAAATGAGGCATAGAACATAGTCTGTGTCAGTGTACCTGGGGTGGTTTTCTTTAAAGCTACAGAGCAGGGGTGGGGAATGTCTGGCCCACCAAGGCCCGAGTAATCATGTGGTCCGGCCCTGCCAAGGCATTAGGGATGAGTTAATTGAATGTTTGAACAAATAGAGCAGGCTAATTTTTAAGTTGATAATTTGGTGTGGCCCACGAATGATGTTATAAATATCCAAATGGCCCTTGGCAGGAGAAGGGTTCCCCACCCGTTTTGGTGTATTATATGGCGATGTTAATGCTTCGCTTGCTCACAAAACGGTCTCTCTTCCTGCAGACAGCCGCTGCACTGTGCTGAGGAAACAAGACAGCGGGGATGTGCCAGTGAGTCATTTGATCACTTTAAATGCTGTGTTCTGGTTTGTGTTGGCCAAAGGAAGGGGAGGACCCAGGCCAGTGTAGTTCCATCCTAGGTGGCACTCCCAGAACCCAATCTGGAGGACTTCCAATAACATGTACTATTTCATTAGGAAGTTAATCCCAATCTGCCCCTTGGAATTGGAACACATCAGCAAACGCTGAGGCTTACATTAGACAACGGCCTTAAAGTTTCACAACTAATAAATGTTAGTCTTAGAAGTAGGAAAGCAGTTCTTGAATAATCTCCTGGCATAAAAATGAAAAGTTATCTGTAATTGTGAAAATTTTCATGTTTTGCTCTTTAAGAAAAATAAAGGGACTTTGTTTTGAGTGCCTCCAAATTGAGTTTAACTTAGAATAATGCCAGAGTTGTCTTCCTTAGTAGTTTGTGGCAGTTTTCAAATAGAAAATTGCTTGTTTACTGACTTTTTAGGATCAAGTCATCTATACTTGAGGTTTTGTCTTAGTCCAGTCTGTCAAGTATTGCCCAGCTACACATGGAAGCACAACTGACACCCTGTGAGAGGTCACAGCTTCTCCTAAGTGCACTGCCAGTGCTCCTGTGTCTGGCCAGGTGCACGTGTCTAGTTTGCCTAAGTAAAAGGAAAATCATTAAAATACTATCAGCATGTACCTGGAATTATCTTAAAAGTCTGATATAAACTATTGAAAATGAGTTCAAAATGTTGGAACAATGTAATTTCAGTTATAACATTAGGCAACATTAAACGTTTTCTTAATTTCTGTTATGAATCATAACAATAGGGCTATAGTGTTATTTTTGTTAAACATTTTATGTAATTCAACTTATGACCAGTCTCAAAATCATGGTATAATACATGGTAGCTTCATAGTGCTGTTACTTGAGTGTTCAGCGATTTCTTTCTCCTTTTTTAGTTTAATTCTACCAAGATAAAAAACAAAGGCAAGAAAAAGAAGCCAAAAGATTTAAAGGTATGGAGTATTTTCTGAGTTAATTCTTATGTAAAATAATTTAATATGTAAGTTAGAAGTAACCAGTTCTTGGGATATTTTGAAGCATTTTGTTGGGATGAGTTTCTAGGCTTTAAAGATATTTTGGCAGTCTTCTACATTTTGAATAAATTCAAGGTTCATATTGTATATAAGTAACACTTAAAAGAAACTTTTATTTTTATTGTCCTTTTTATTTTCTGAAAATTTCTGAGTAAAGTCAATTTTCATAATGTGGAATTTTGTCTGGATGGTTCTAGAACAGGCTGACCAAGACAGCTTTGGGGTCAGCTAGACCTGAATTTATAGCTTGGCTCTTGACCAATTATTGTGATTTTTATTGCTGTTTCTATTATCTCTGTGACCTTGGGCAAGTTATTTGACTTTCCTATGCCCTAGTGTTACCATTTGTATGATGACATGATACCTCTTATCAATAACAAAAATACTCAAAATAAAGGTGGTAAATACTAACCGTTAAAGCAGAATCTCAGACTTGATAGGCTCCCTTCCTTCCTCTCACCCAAGGCCGAGCTCTAAACCCATGAGGTCACTAGTGGGCTCTTCATAGCTCTCATGTATTTGGGGGCTCATGTTGGGGGCAGGTGTGGAAACAGTGAACAAATATTACAGGAGGATGAGAGCAGTCAGTAAAACTAATGGGTCCTGACCAGTTTGGCTCAGTGGATAGAGCGTCGGCCTGCGGACTGAAGAATCCTAGGTTCGATTCCAGTCAAGGGCATGTACCTTGGTTGCAGGCACATCCCCAGTAGGGGGTGTACAGGAGGCAGCTGATCGATGTTTCTCTCTCATCAATGTTTCTAACTTTCTATCCTTCTCCCTTCCTCTCTGTAAAAAAATCAATAAAATATATTTAAAAAAAAACTAATGGGACTTTTAAACTGAGTGACATTTAAATTTTTTTGGAGTGTGGTAAGCTACCTAAATGTTAATTTGGGCCTATTTATGGTTGTTGAAACTTTTATTATTAATGTGTTCCTATTCAAAAGACAATTTAGATAAGTCTCATATATTGTCAGTTTGCATGCTTATTTATGTAAGCAGTCATCAGTATTAATGGCATTTTAAGGTAGAACATTATTGTCATTCTTCTGTCTTTTAAACCAGCCTATGTTAGTTGGGTCTGGAACAACTTCAGTAACACCTAATAATGAGACTATCGCTTCAGGTGAAGACCATAAGTAAGTACAGTTTTTAAATTTTTGCTTCATTTTAACTCAAGTGTTTTAAGCGATGTTAATTTAATGTACTTTACATTTGTGCTTTCCCTAACTTCTCTGTCTAAATATGCATCTATGACAACAACCTTATGTGACCATCTTGGTTGAATTTATAGCATGGCTTGTCAATGTTGAAAATTCATAAAAACTGCATTAAAATCACAAGGTTGCCCTAGCTGGGTGGATCCATTGGTTGGAGTGTTGTCCTGTATACCAGAAGGTTGTGGGTTAGATTCCCAGCCATGGCACCTACCAAGGTTTTAGGTTTGATCTCTGGTCAGGGTGTGTACGAGAGGCAACTGATCCATGTTTTTCTCTCCCTTTCTCTCTAAAACCAGTTAAAAAAACATATCCTCAGGTGAGGACAGTAAAAAAATAAAATAAAATCATAAGGCTGATGATATTCACTTGATAAGTGTGAGAACCTACTATATGCAAGTTACTATGGGGCAATCCTAGAAAATGTTCTTTAAAATGTTCATTGAAGAGAATGTCCTATTGATAATTACTGGCATATTTGCTAAAATAGGAGAAATGGAGATGTTTTGGAAGTTATATATGAGGTAATAGTTTAACCTTAAATGTTAGTGATTTTTATTTTTATTTATTTTTTTTAAATATATTTTATTGATTTTTCACAGAGAGGAAGGGAGAGAGATAGAGAGAGCCAGAAACATCGATGAGAAAGAAACATCGATCAGCTGCCTCCTGCACATCCCCCACCGGGGATGTGCCCGCAACCCAGGTACATGCCCTTGACCGGAATCGAACCCAGGACCTCTCAGTCCGCAGGCTGACGCTCTATCCACTGAGCCAAACCGGTTTCGGCCTTAAATGTTAGTGATTTTTAATAACATCTGGTTGTTGAAGCTAAGTTTTGAAGAAACAAATAGACATAAGTAGAAATAAAACTAGTCAGTAGCAGTGACCTTTTTATATCATATTCTTTTCTGGGCTAAAAAACACACAAAAAAAGTTTGGGGTTTTTTCTACATTTCTTAAAGAGGTTGTGTAACAGTTGTTTTGCACAGTCATTTTCATGGATTCTTTAAGTGGAGAAATTGTTTTAAGTTAAAATTATAATAGCCTATATTTATATTACACTTATACCAGGCATTATTCTAAGAGCTTTCCATATAGTACAACTCATTTAATCCACTCTTTCACCCTAGGAGATAATTATTATTATGTTCATTTTATATGTAAGGTAACTAATGCACAGTGTAGTTGCATGACGTACCCAAGGACACACAGCTTGTAAACAGCAGAGCCGAATTTTAAACCCAGCAATCTGGTGGAGAGCCCACACTCAAACTGCATCTTTGTAGAGTGCTAAAATCATCACCTTTAAAAAAAAAATCTTTTTATTAAGTACCAGTCTCTATTTCACTTTAAATTAATAGCAGTTATAATAAAACTTTCATTGTTCACTATAACAAGTTACAATCAATGCAACATTGATTCTTTTTATTTTTTAAACCCGGGAGTTTTAAAAAATGTGCTCTTGCTAGCAAGAATAAGTAGGTGATTAAAAGTGCTTATTCAGTAGTCAGGCGCATCTACTTCTTGACTGTAATTGTGGAAGGTAACTTCTCTGCATTAAATTCTCTGGTAGGAGGTTTTTGTTTCTTTGCATCATAATACCACATAACATGTTACTATCTTTATGTTTATTTCCATTTAATGTTGGTGAGGCAAAAGTAGGTTTGTAGTTGTGAGTACATGGAACAGAGTTTATTCTTGTATTATTATTTATTAATTATGGCATTATTTTCCATACAAACAACTGTAACCTACTTTTGCCTAACCCTGTATTATTCTCGGTCACCTAAAGCTGGGTCAATTATTCAAAAAAAAAATTTTTTTTTTTAAATCAACAGACGCAATTCAAATTCCGCAGGCCCGTTTGTAGTGCCTGACCACCTTCGGCAAGATGTAGCAGAATTTGAAGCTCTGTATGGACAACACAGCAATGAGTATGTTGTCCGTAAAAAGAAGCTGTGGGACATTAACCCAAAGCAAAAAAGTTCAACTTTATATGAGTGAGTAGAATGTTTCTACAACAACTATTTTATATGGGGGCTGCCAGTTAAAGGTGTTAAGTTGTTTAATTTGTGTCCCAAATGATTATTAACACATTGTTTGCGGGTAGTTTTTATCGCGCGCTAACAGGTGGTGCGGGCCATTTTTGCTAATTTTTTGCGCAAATGGCAACGTTCAGTAAAATTACGATAACTTTAGTTTACGTATTTATACGTTACCCGCATTCTACCGCTAGTCTATAAAAAACGTATTAATACGTGTCCCGCTCTCTACTACACTGGTAGAACGTATAAATATGTAAAACGTGTAAACACGTTTCCTGCATACAATGTGTTAAATGAATCAATTGATGGCTTGTAAACTCTGGGAAAGGAAAGTGTTTTTTTTAATATATTTTATTGATTTTTTTACAGAGAGGAAGGGAGAGGGATAGAGAGTCAGAAACATCAATGAGAGAGATACATCAATCAGCTGCCTCCTGCACATCCCCCAGTGGGGATGTGCCCGCAACCCAGGTACATGCCCTTGACCGGAATCGAACCCGGGACCCTTCAGTCCGCAGGCCGACGCTCTATCCACTGAGCCAAACCGGTTTCGGCTGGAAAGTGTTTTTATAGCTTTTGTTCAGTATTATACAAATAAAACTGAGGGTTTTTAATTATTAAATTTAAAATCCTAATGATTGTTTTGTCAGTTTGAGTTGCTAATGTGGATACTTCCTGCTTCCAAAACTGTCCTGCTACGTCCTGATAGGACTGATAAAAGTTTCCAGCCATGAACGTTTCACCATGAATTTCAAGTTACACATTTGACAAGGGGGAGAATGATTATGTGATCTCATTGTCCTTATGTTGATGGATGCATCTGTTTGGCATCTTATAAGTCCAGCGAGTAGCTTGGTGAAGTGTTAACCTTTTACCTGGAAAAGGATGCCCAGATCTTATTCTTACTTCTGCCTGATGATGGCTGTTTAGCTGGATGACCCTGTGTTCCTGTATGGTATTGGAGACTTGACCTCCTGACATTAACCTAATAAAAGAGAAACTGACTTTCCTTTTGAAGTAACTTGGGTGTGAGTTACTTTTGGATTGAAAATGTGGATGTTAAATTAGCACTTAAGGTGAATGTGAGTGGTTATCCTATATAATAAAACCCTAATATGCAAATCGACCAAACGGCAGAATGACCAGTCGCTGTGACACGCTCTGGGGATCGGGCCTAAGCCGGCAGGTGGACATTCCCCAAGGGGTCCCAGACTGCGAGAGGGTGCAGACCAGACTGAGAGACACCAACCCCACCCCCAGTGCACAAATGTTGTGCACCAGGTCTCTAGTCTATGTATATAAAGGCTAAGCGACCGTCTGGTACCTATGACGCACACTGACCACCAGGGGGCAGACGCTCAACACAGGAGCTGCCAATCTGTGGTGACTTGGCAGCAGCGGCTCTCGGGTGACACACCCCAGAACCAGAGAGGAGGGAGCCCAATTCTTCGTGGGACTGTGCAATTCCACCTTCGGCTGTGGGTTATGTTATTGCTGGGGCACTGTCAGCCCCGAATCTCATTTACTGCCTAGATGCAGTAACCACAGATACCCTTCAAGCCATGGCACCACCCCAGGGGAGGTTGGCTCCAGGCCGTGTCCGGCCCAACTTGCCCAGTCCCACACCACCAGCCACCTTCTAATTAATTTCCTCTCAACGTGCACGAATCCGTGCACCGGGCCACTAGTATGACATAAAGGAGTAAAGAGTTCAGAGAGATTTGGAATTACCATTTTGAGGTTGGCGTTAATAAGAAGTGCATGGTATTTTCCTTAAGAAATGAAACTGAGGGCTAAGATCTGCAACAGAGAATTAAATCAAAAGCTAACTGTTCTGGAAAACCTTTCACTCATTCACAATTTGGTCATTCTGTTTTCCTCAGTTGCTGCATTCCTATTTAGTCTGGTTATATGCTCTTGGGTTCCTCTTAATGGTTTTTCTTTATTTTCTTTTATTTTTTTTAATATATTTTTATTGATTTCAGGGAGGAAAAGGGATAGAAACACCAATGATGAGAGAGAATCATTGATTGGCTGCCTCCTCCATGCCCCACACTTGGGATTAAGCCCGCAACCCAGACACATGCCCTGACCAGGAATTGAACCATGACCTCCTGATTCATAGGTCAATGCTCAACCACTGAGCCATGCCAACCAAGTGACTTTTTTTGAGGCCAGAAAAGTGGATAAATAGAGTTAAAGTTCATTTTGGATTGCATTTCTAATAATAGTAATTATAAAAATTTTATTCACAATAAGGTTATAATATTATTTCTTTGGACTAGACAAAAAATAGTCCAAATTTTGGACTATTTTTCACACATTCAATTTTGTTCTGCATTGAATATGTGAAAAATTTGTTGCTACTTAGCCAGTGGACAAAACCTGAAGGTTCTGTTTCTTTGAAAAAATTTTTTTCTGATTATAAAAGTAACTAGTGGCCCAATACACAGATTTGTGCACATTGAAAGGAAATTAATTAGAAGGTGGCTGGTGGGGCAGGACTGGGCAAGATGGGCCGGACACGTCCTGGAGCCAACCTCCCGCAGTTCCTCCCCGCGCCGAACCTGGGGCAGTGCTGCAGCTCAAAGGGTGTCTGTGGTGACCGCAACTCAACAGTAAACCAGATTCGGGGCTGACAGTGCCCCAGAAACAACATAACTCACGCCGAAGGTGGAATTGCGCAGCCCCACAAGGAATCGGGCTCCCTCCTCTCTGATTCTGGGGTGCGTCACCTGAGAACCACCGCAGCCAAGTCACCTCAGCTCAGCAGCTCCTGTGTTGAGCGTCTGCCCCCTGGTGGTCAGTGCACATCATAGGTACTAGACGGTCGGATGGTCGAACAGTTGCTTAGCCTTTTATATATAGAGATAATACAAATTCTTGAATTTTTAAAAAATAAAGTTGAAAGGACAAAATAAAAAAATTATTTCTATCATCCAGATATAACCACAGTTAACTTTTGGTGTGCATCCCCTCAGACTTTTAAAAGTCTGTGTATAAAATAGGTTTTAAAATTTGCAAACTGTGGTTGTACTTTACGCTCAGCCTTGTCATTTACCTTTTCACCTGAAAATGCACAGTGAGCATTTTTCATATTCGTGACTATTCTTCAGGAACGTGACCTACTGGTTGCTGGATGGTTGTCACCAGCTCGGCATCAGCACTTCGTAGCTGGCTGTGGAAAAGCTCACGAGGTCGCATAATCATACTATCCTTGTCACATGTGTAACTTGAAATTTGTTGTTGAGATGGAGAGTGATTCCTTTCATGTGGTCTCTTCTTCAGTTACCCCATTTGGGATTTAAGTATTTTCATCCAGATAGAATGTTTTCTGTTTCAATGATTTTCTTAAGTATTCATCATGGAGAGAAGAAGTAAATACGTATACACCATTGATGATTGTTCTGCTCTTGCTCAGTGGCAACTAAACACCAACAGAAAAGGACTCTCTTCAGACAAAGGAGGGGAGAGTCAATGTTATTTATACTAATCAGCCTAAATCCTCTACAAGGATTACTGTTCCTGAGACTGCATCACTTGTTTCTTTGTTCTTCACTCTCCTCAACCCCTTTTTGTTTTTAGAAATTTCCCATTAAAAATGAAGTTTGATGGGAATCTTAAAGCAAAAACATATTTAACATGTTATCTTGCAAAACATGTATGTAGGGAAGTTTCAATTGTAGAAATTATTCTAAGGGAACGTAGTCATCAAAAAACACTCTAAGAGAGATGGGTGACTTTTCAGTACTGAGAGCAGCAGTGCTGGCAGGGCGACATTGGGTCTTTGTGCTTCAGAGCACCGGCCGTTTGCACAGAGGGCGGCCGCTTGGAATCGTTCTGTGCACTTATCTGCAGCAGCTTCTGCACAGAAAGGAGTTTTCTTTGCTTCAAAAAGTGTTGCTTTTATCTCCTAAATAACTTGTCTTCCTGGTTAAGATTAATTTACTAAGAAAGTTTCTCTGGAGATTTTTGCTCTTGAAAAGCCTTCTTAGTTGTATGTGCTATGTGTCTGTCTTGTTAGTTGCTCACTGTTACAGACTGAAGACCAAATTCACATGGAGGAGGAAGCCTTTTTGAGCCTGAGAAAAGATAGTGCCCAGACCTGGGGTGACCGCAGTCCAGAGCTGGAGGCAGATTAAGGGACCTGCCCTGTTTCTGTGGGTCTGATCCTGTACTATATTGGCTTACAATGGATCGGACATGATTGATTTCAATACCTCTGAATCACATCCTACTCTTAAACAAGAAATTACAATAGATGTACTATATGCAAATTCCAATCAGATATTTTCTGGAAGTTTTATTTCCTCTTTTCACTTGACATTTTGTTTTTTCCTCAGATAAAGTTTCTTTTCATTGCTTTTTATTTTTATTATTATTTTTTAAAATATATTTTATTGATTTTTTACAGAGAGGAAGGGAGAGGGATAGAGAGTTAGAAACATCGATCAGAGAGAAACATCGATCAGCTGCCTCCTGCACACCCCCCACTGGGGATGTGCCCGCAACCACAGTACATGCCCTTGACCAGAATCGAACCCGGGACCCTTCGGTCCACAGGCTGATGCTCTATCCACTGAGCTAAACCAGTTAGGGCCTTTTCATTGCTTTTTAAATAGATTGTATACTTATATAATTAAAACGTATAAAGTAACTTTTTAATCCCTTTTATTTTTTTTACTAAAAAAACTTTTTAAAAATTATTTTCTGAGAGAGAAACAAAACTTTATTTATAGTATCATTGGTTTCAGTTAGCCTTTCTCAGATTTAATATGAGAATAATATTTGTTGGGGAGGAGTTGAGATCAGCTGGAAGTGAAATAGTATTTGCTTTGGGAGAATTTTTTGGGAAATAGTATATTTCTAATGAACATGTACAAGTACTTTTAATAACTTATATAAATGCAAATTTTTCCCCCCAGTTATTTCTCTCAGTTGTTGGAGGAGCATGGTCCCTTGGATATGAGTAACAAGATGTTCTCTGAAGAATATGAATTCTTCCCAGAAGAAACTCGTCAGATACTAGAAAAAGCTGGAGGTTTGAAATCTTTCCTCCTAGGATGTCCTCGTTTTGTTGTGATTGACAACTGTATTGCTTTGAAGAAAGTTGCATCACGGCTCAAGAAAAAGAGAAGGAAGAAAAACATCAAGACAAAAGTGGAAGAAATGTCAAAAACAGGAGAGTACTTACGAGTTAAACTGCCGCTGAATCCAACCGCTAGGGAATTTAAACCAGATGTGAAGTCCAAAGCAGTGTCCAGTTTATCTTCAGCACCACCTTCTGAGGGTGCAAAACCCCAGCCTGCCTCTGCTGATTTTCCCAAACCAGCCTGTGAAGCTGAGAAGCCACAACCAGTGTCCAAGCCACAGCCAGTGTCCAAGCCACAACCAGTGGCCAAGCCACAGCCCGTGTCTGAGAATTCTCGCAGGTCAGTTTCAGAGGGCGAGAAGCCCAAAGAGGTTGCTCCCAGTCCTCCCAAAGCAGCCTCTGAGGATGCGAGTCGCCATCCTCAGGGTCGTTCGACCTCCATTTCTCCCAAGCCAGTTCATGAGGACATGAAAACAGCCTATTGGACTCAAGCCCATGTGGTCACAGGGTACTGTACATACCTTCCCTTCAGGGCATTCGAGCTTGCCCCGCCACCACCAGCATACATAAGCATGGTCCCGACCTTGCCCCAGTACACTAACATTTACACACCGCTGGCCACCATTTCAACTGAATATCAGCTGCAAACATCAGTGACAGTGGTGTCATCTTACGTAGCCAATGACAGACCAGATCAGAGTGCTGCTGTGTATTTTGATGGTCGTCGTTTGAATGCTGAGCATGCCCCTGGCAACCAGATTGCCTCAGAAACACAGATCCTTCAGGATTCTTTGGAGATATCAGTAAAGTCACAGTACAGCACAGGTGGTGCTGATCCAGCCCAGAGTGAGCCCCGCAGAAATAATGGCCACTGTGGAAGTTCTGCCCACAAGCAGAAAGCAAACCCAGAAAGGACCGATGAAGCCACGAATATTCCACATACACAAGTGGTTGCCATACAGGTAAGACTTAAATAGAAAAAAGTTGTCTTAATACTGAAGTTAAGTTTTTTTTTTCATTTTTTATTGCCAATATATATACACTAAAATGATTGAACAAATATGGTTACTAATGCTTTCACCTGAAAATGTCTTAAAAATATCCCTTTTGTAGGACATAATAGGTAATCTTGTCAAGAAAGAATTTTAGGGCCTAGTAAACAATACCCTTGTTTTCTACCCCAGTTTTGCCCCAGTTGAGAAATAAACTAGAGGAATCAGTAGATGTAACCAAACATCACCATGCAGAGTGCATGTCCTAACAGGAACCCCCGCTTACCAGTGTATGCCCTACAGCAGCGCTGGACCGGAGGCCTCCCAACGCGGGTGCCTGCCCCATACGATGTAGAGAAGGAGGGACAGTGTGCTTTCTGCACACGCAGCTCCCAAGAGGAAGGGAGAGAGAGTCCGGGCTACACATGCATGCCCAGTCTCTCCTACCAAAACGGAAGCAGGAGGGAGTTAAGGCAACCAGATGGAGAGAAACAGGAGGGGGGTGCATAAAAGTTCCTTCCTAACAAGCATGAGAATGAATTTAGATGCCTCTGTAGTTAACTTCACTGGGCATGAATTCACTAAACCCTGATTGGATTATCCCCTACTCACTACGTTTTCTCTTTTCTAGAAAGCTTTGAACTAATATGTTAATAATAATGAGTCAAAATCATTTTTTTAAAAAAACAAACAAAAATGCTTACAAAAATTGTGAGCATGTTTTTAAATGGTATTACATAACAGACCTATTTTACCAGAGCAGTTGACATAGATTAAAATTTAGTGTTTGTTTTGCCCCAAAGGTGTCTGGGAATGTAGCACATCAAGAAGTCAATACCGAGCCATATGATCCTTTTGAGGCACAACAGGTGAGTCAGAATTGTATTACACTGTGTAAAGGTTCGAGTGTCCTTCATTTAACTAGATGGGAATGACTGACTAGAACTATTTTGGAGCCATCTACTAGTAATTCCATCTGAAATGTTATTATGGAATAAGCTTTAGAGAATAACCAAAAAAGTCCTGTTCTGTTTTTATTGTTGGAATTGGGTAAGGAGAAGCAGATGAAAAGGTAAGGTTTTTTTCTAGCTTATTTATTTCATAGTATAATGGCTTTACTGTTTAACTCAGTGGTTCTCAACCTTCTGGCCCTTTAAATACAATTCCTCATGTTGTGACCCAACCATAAAATTATTTTCGTTGCTACTTCATAATTGTAATGTTGCTACTGTTATGAATCATCATGTAAATATCTGATATGCAGGATGGTCTTAGGTGACCCCTTGAAAGGGTCGTTCGACCGCCAAAGGGGTCGCGACCCACAGGTTGAGAACCGCTGGTTTAAGTGCTATAATGAGCCTGTATTAATTGATAAATAGTGCTTATTCGCATGAATGATATAGATCATATTATAAAGACCTTCACTTTCTGAAGAATGAATTAGAAAATCTATTAATATAATTTACTGGCTAATATACCTTCAGAGAAAAGTTATTTGATCAACTCCATAGTTACTAAAAAGATACTGGCAGCGGTTCTCAACCTGTGAGTCACAACCATCAGAAAACGCATACAGTGGGGCCTTGACTTACGAGTGTCCCGACTAATGAGTTTTTTGAGATACCAGCTGTCTCTCGGCCGATTTTTTGCATTGAGTTGATAGAGTAATTTGAGTTAACAAGCTCCTTAATGAGCTCGGTCTCGAAACGAATTAAACTTGTAAGTCAAGGCCCCACTGTATAGCATATCAGGTATTTACATTACGATTCAAAACAGTAGCAACGAAAATAATTTTATGGTTGGTGGTTACCACAATATGAGGAACTGTATTAAAGGGTCGCAGTGTTAGGAAGGTTGAGAACCACTGCTTAGAGTATGGCTTTTGTTTGTTTGTTATAAAGCTGGTTTGAGATAGTTATATATCTGAAAGCAATTCATTGATAATATTTTAACTTAAAAAAAATCAGCAACTATCCATTTAAAACACTTTAAAGTAGAACCAAAGTAAAAAAAAAGTTCTGTTCATATCTAAAATATGCATAAAATATGCAGCTTTTAAACCTAAAAAATAGTTCTTGATGTTAATTGTTAGAGAATGACATTCACATCAAACTATTGATTCAATACCAAACCCTTCTAAGACAAATATTCAGAACTAGTTATAGTGCAGATCGAAAAGTTTCATTATAAATTCCAGTAATACGAATAACATTATTTTAAAAGAGCTGGCTTTGCTTAACAGTGTTCAGGAGTTTTTAATTCTTGAATCATTGTGGCATTTCCCTTGAAAATTTTCATCTGCCTTTTACTCTCCTTTGTTTATTTTAAGAGGCAGTTCAGGACAAGATCAGAAATAAGCATTTTTCGCTACTTTAATAGAAAACTTTGTAATTTACTTTTAGGGGGATATTTCACAGATTGAAAAGGAGTCCCACGTTTTACAAGAGCAGCTTGAGGAAGCCTGTGAAAATTACGAGCAGAGAAAACTGAAGGGCTCAGAAGAGACCAGGGACCTGGAAGAGAAGTTGAAAAGGAACTTGGAAGAAAACAAGGTAATGCTATCTGAAACCTCTCTGTAAGAGCATGTGGCATCATTAGGAGAATGTGCTTGTGCAGCTCATGAGCGGAGCGTCTGCATTGTTGGCTACACAAAGGATTCTTTCTCAGTATCGCTTATTTCAAATTTCTCCAGGACATATTAAAGTGGCAGTGTCTTTGGTGGGGTTTTTTTGAATGTTTAGGACCTCTGCAAGTCACCATATAAGGAAGGGGCTGTAAATCTGGGTTTTCATTTACCTATAATTCAGTCCGCTTGATTAACCAAAACTATTTCTGGTGACTAAGTTCCAAGTTAGTTTTGTTTATATTGAGAGGCAGTGTAGCATTAGTGGTTAGGAGTGTGAGGCCTGGAGTCAGACTGGCTGGGTTCAGATCAGACTGGGCCCTCTCCCAGTTCTGATTTGGGGCAAGTTATTAACTTCTCTGTGCTTTAGTTCCTTACCTGGAAAATTTGGACGATAATTGCTCTCATTTTGTGGGGTTAGATTAATACTTACAAAGTACTTAAAACTGGTGCATAGGAAGGGTTCTGTGCATGTTGGCTGCCACTATTATTACTATTATTATCATCTTCATCGTATTCCTAAGTAAGGGTGAGAATAACATGTAGAGCTTACGCACCCCAGAACTGCAAAGCCACCCAGGGTGTCTTTTCTGAGTCTCCTGATCTTGAATTATGTTGGCTAAGATTATCAGTTACGTGTAACTGCTATTGGAGTGATACTAATTAGCGGCAAAGCCAAATCGAATTGGGGGGACGTGGGATTATAGATGTGAGAAATCGTGGTGTGTTTCTTTTTGAAGTACAGTCTTCCATCTAGAACAGTTGATCTCAACCTTCCTAATGCCGCGACCCTTTAATACAGCTCCTCATGTTGTGGTGATCCCCAACCATAAAATTATTTTCGTTGCTACTTCATAACTGTAATTTTACTACTATTATGAATCGTAATGTAAATATCTGATATGCAGGATGTATTTAGGCAACCCCTGTGAAAGGGTTGTTCGACCCCCAAAGGGGTCGCGACCCACAGGTTGAGAACCGCTGATCTAGCGGTAATAGGGATGATAGTCATTTAAGAAAGGAAGAGCCTGTTGGCAGAAGTCTGGATCAGTAGCTGGGGCAATGTATTAAATAGAAGAAAATTAGCTCAGGAAACTCATTATTGAGCCTGGCCCGTGTGGCTCAGTGGAAGATACCTCAAATACTTATTTTGAAATAAAGTTGAGGTTTTAAAAAAGAGGTACAGAAACCAAATTTTCTCTAATTGAGAAAAGGATCATCAGAAAGTGATTATAATTCTCTCTCTAAACCAGTGCATGTAGAGGATACAGTTATATCCTCTGGGCTATTCCTTCTTTTATTCTGATATTTGCAGGAAAAGGATTCAGATCGTTGTCGTTGGTGGAGTCAGAGACAAGTGCATGGAGGCTGCCCCGGTTAGTGTTGTGAGGCCCGTGTCATTGAAAGGTGGTCGGTACAAACAGTAGGCGAGCTCCCGCAGCATATTTTTGTGGTTGAGCTATAAGAGTGTGTGCTTATAATACTTAGTGCATTTTGATACCTGATTCCTTCAGGTACTTGTTGCCAAGGTGGTTGTCATGCCACAGTAGAACCTTTGGTTGCACATCATCTCCCAGCTAAAGGTTTGGTTCAGAGGTGAAATCATTGGCTTAGAATAGAAGCACAGGTGGGTGAGAAACAAGGTTAGCGTGGCCGCAAGGCATGCAAATGGACTTTGCTCATAGTTGTAGAAGTGACCCAGGTAGAATCAGGATTTGTAAGTAGATGAGGTCACCTTAGTCATTGTAATGACTCAGCAAATCCAGAGTCAGCAAGGAAAATGTGAGGAGAACATTCCCCTGCTAGAGGGGGTGTCACTGGACTGTCACTGAACCTCTGCTGCCCAGGAACAGTTGGCTGTGCACCTGGAGGCCGCTGGAACCAGCCCACCACTGCAGTCGGACTCGGCAGTCTGCAGGGACCTGGGCTGGCCAGCCAGATGCCTCCCGGGCCATTGCAAACCAAGTGCCTGCAGAGACAGGAGGTTGCTGGGGTCAGACACGAATCTTTTCAAAGCTGTCTCAGAGGAAATACTCCAGTGTCCTCCATGTCTTCATTGCACCACGGGCCTCTGCTTCCAGAACCCAGCTAAACTGTTTCTCTGTAGTCGAACAGACTCCCAGGGCCTAGGCATTTGTCCTCTTACACTTGAGACCTTGTTGTAACGAGTTTGACACTGAAGCCATTTCTCCCGGCCCTGCCTTCCACACGTCCACTCTGCATTCCAGCTGCGTCGCACCTCTTGCTTTTGTGCAGATGTGCCGTAACCTTATTCTTCTGCTTGAGTCGTGCTGCGAGTGGCAGGCTCATCTGGGAGCCCGAGATCGGATATCTCTGGTTCTGAGAAGCCCTTTCTGAGCACCATCGTCTGTTCTTGGTTTGTTACCTGACATATCCCCCTGCCTGATTCACGGAGGGCAGGAGAGGGGTGCTGGCGCTGAGGCCACATCCTGGACCACGTCGTAGCCCAGGCTCAGCCCGGGAGCACAGCCAGCTGTGACGGTTCTGCTGAACCCGAGTCAGGGCCTAGGCGGGGTCACCAGCACAATTCTGATCTCTCAGGCTCCTTTGTTTCGTGAAGTAAATCTTTCTAAAATCGTTTTAGATCTCAAAGACAGAATTAAACTGGTTCCTCGAAGATTTGCAAAAGGAAATTAAAAAATGGCAACAGGAGAAAAAAGAAATACAAGAAAGACTAACAGCACTAAAGAAGGAAATGAAAAGGGTTTCAGATGCCACTGAAACGTAAGTAAGGCTCAATGCAATGATTTTTATTGTTTGTTTTTTGGGGTAAGGGTTGTTGATATTTTAACATTTTTGATATTCCATTTCAAACTAAATTGGGTGAAGTGAAAATTTTAGATACTGTTTCATCTAATTTTTAAAAACATCTGTTGGGGAAATATGTCACCTGAAACGTTTTCTAAACCTGCCATATTTGCAGATAAAGTGAGACTATGAATTAAAGAAAGGCATCCTCCTAGTCTGAGCACTCCCTCTACTGTGACCATGACCTTTGACACACACACACACCCACCACCATCTGTGAAATGAGCGGACTTGTCTAGATCTTAAGCTTCTTTTCAGCACTAAGATTCTGTGGTGATTATTTTACTTACGATTACTTTCACCCTGAATCCTGAAAGCATTGAATTCCGTTCTATATTGTGAGGGATTTGGAAATACATACCGGCCTTACAGTTGTCAGATGGGCCAAGTTGGTGCTAAAATTCTCCATGATTGATTCCTAACCCCTTTCTTCCTTAAACAGTGATATGTCCTAGGATTTACTTAGCTTAATTGTTACCTACTGTGTAACAAAACACCCAAAACTCTGTGGCTTAAATTAGCAGCCACTTTAGCTGATGGCGATCCCACAGTCTGGGCTGAGTGCAACTGGGCCATTATCCTCTGGTCTTGCCAGTGGTTCCTCTGGCTGCGTTTAGCTGGGGATGGGCTCAGCCGGGATGCTGGTGTCTTGTTCTCTCCCTCTCCCTGTGGCCTCCCTGTGACTTTTATCTACACAGTCTCTCCATCTGGTCTTTAGCATGGCAGCCAGACTCCCTGTGTGGCCCTGGGAGCTTCCAAGAGTGCAGGAGCAGGAGCTGCCAGGCCCCTGCAGATCTGCGCCAGAGCTGTCAGGCATCCCTCCACCACCTTCTCCAGTTTCAGGCGGGGTGCCGGCCTTGTCCAGAGCAGAGAGCTGCACAGTGGGGGCCGAGTCACCAGGGGACACAACAACCACACTCATCTTTCAGGGCATTTATGCGTTTTCCATTTGCCGTGCAATGTGATCACATGGCTTTCATTATGTCTCGCTAGCATCACATCTGGGCAGTTTCTAGGTAGCCCTTAAAAGAATGGTGAACATAAAACACTGCCTCTGTCATGTCCAAGTAGCTTCAGGGAACACATTTGCAGAAAAGATAATGTCTTTAAAGCTCTTTTCTTCTTCATATTTGAGCAGGTCTAGTCTTAATCAATGTTATCCAAAAATTCAGAAGTATTTATGTTTAGCATATTTTTACATGCTCAATTTAGACATTCTGTCAAACTAAACAAAAATAAATGAATCTGTTGATGAGAAAATACTTTTTTCTGCTCACATAAAAATTAACCATTCCTGGTGGGGAGTAAACTTTTTACTGGTACACACACACACACTTTATTAATATATATATTTCTTTGTCTCTTTTGGTCACTGTTTAAAGATAAGCCATAGGCTTCTCTGTGCTTTACACTTTCCAAGTAAGTGCTTTAGATTTAGCTTTTAGAGCAAAACCTTAAAACTTTTAGCTCTCCTAAAGAAGCTTAAAGGATATGAGCAATGATGTGATTTTTCTACACTTTAGGTCACACTTAGTATTAAAAATGGCTGGAGCATAGGGAGCTCCTGCTTGGTGCAGTAGGACAGACCAGCGGCATCTATGGAAATGATGCAGGTTCCTTGAAAGAACAGGACAAAATTGAGTGCTTAGAGGAAGATGTCTACACAAGAAGGAAAGGCCTTGAAGCTGGTTCTTAGTGGAAATGTGGGGTGTTCAGCAAGTAGAGATGACTAAGAAGGTGTGTAGGGGAGCATGAAGAGGTAGAACATATTCCCTCAGGGCATTGCCTAGGGGTCAGATTGGCACTTTGTTTTGAAGGGTTGTCAGACAGTGCACACATGAGTGTGTGTTGGACTCTAAGTTTTATTTATGTATATCCTATCTAATAAAAGAGTAATATGCAAATTGACCATCACTCCAACACACAAGATGGCTGGCAGGGGAGGGCAGTTGCGGGGGACCAGGCCTGCAGGGGAGGGCAGTTGGGGAAAATCGTGCTGGCAGGGGAGTAGTTAGGGGCAATCAGGCAGGCAGGCAGGCGAGCGGTTGGGAGCCAGCAGTCCTGATTGTGAGAGGGATGTCTGACTGCCCTTAGGGGGTCCCAGATTGGAGAGGGTGCAGGCTGGGCTGAGGGACACACACCCGCCCCCTGCATGAATTTTGTGCACTGGGCCTCTCGTATATATATATTTTATTGATTTCAGAGAGAAAGGGAGAGGGAGATAGAGATAGAAACATCAATGATGAGAGAGAATAATTGATCTGCTGCCTCTTGCACACCCTCTACTGGGGATCGAGCCCACAACCCAGGCATGTGCCCTTGACCAGAATCAAACCTGGGACCCTGTAGTCCACATGCTGATGCTCTTTCCACTGAGCCAAACCAGCTAGGGCTTAAGTTTTATTTTAAAGAGTAGAGGCTGGCCCTGGTCGAGTAGTTCATTTGGTTGGAGCGGTGTCCCATACACCAAAAGGTTGCTAATTTGATTCCCAGTCAATGCACATACTTAAGTTATGGATTCAATTTCCAGTCAGGGCGCTACGGAAAGCAACAGATATTTCTCACATCTCTCTCTCTCTCTCTCTCTCTCTCCTTCTCTCTCTCCCCCTCTCTCTCCCCCTTCCTCCTCTTGCCCTCCCTCTCTCTCTCCCTTCTCCCTTTCACCCATTCCCTCCCCTCCCCCCCCAACTCTTTCTGACTCAATAAAAACAGCTCAGCTGGTGTGGCTCAGTGATTGAGCATTGACCTATGAACCAAGTGGTCACAGTTCGGTTCCTGATTAGGGCACATGCCCAGGTTGCAGGCTCTATCCCCAGTGCAGGAGGCGGCCAATCCATGGTTCTCTCTCATCATTGATGTTTCTCTCTCTCTCCCTTTTCTTTCCCCTCTGAAATAAATAAAAATATATTTTTAAAATAAATAAGTAATAAAAATAAGAATCAATAAAAACACATCCTAAAAAAGCACACACACACACACACACACACACACACACACACACACAGAGGCTGTTTGCATTTTGAATGAGAACCACTGGTCATACTGTACTCCTGTCTCATCTTAAACCTCCCAGGAGTGCTCCTTGAAGTGGACTGAGATAGGATGACATGCGACAGGCATATGACTTAGTGATCAAATAAAATGGCTGAAATCTGTGGTCTGCCCTCCAAGTGTAAAAGGAAAGCTTCCAAAGAGGAAAATGACCCAAATTCTTTGCCTATTTTGAAGATACTAGAAATGAAACAAAATGTAAAAACTTACAAAGAATTCAAGGAATTTTGCATGGCTGTGGGTCGAATTTACTCTGGATCAGGTTTGTAAAAAAATCTTGAAAAAACTAATTAAAATTTGGTGATTATGCTTTCATAGGTACACCCAGAAAAATGATGGACAGGAAAAGGAACATGAATTCCTTCTGGATCAGTCTTCTGAAATCAGGCAAATTAAGTTTAAATTTATTTGTATGTCTAGTACTTTTAATAGCAGAGGCACAAGCACACAGGACATCTAAACATATTGTTGCTTGTCTATGTTTTAAATGATTGTTTCTCTTTTTATTTTCTATTTTATTATTTAATATTTAAAATTTATCCTTTAAGTATTTTTATGTTGTGATGTTCCTACTTTATTCCACATTGTCAGTTTAAAAATCTGAATTTAGAGTTGATTATTACACCTCTTTTCCCTTGAGTTAGCTTGAAACTAAATGTGTGTTTTAAACACTTTTCTTTTGTGTTACTGAAATACCAGTCTCAACTACATTATGGTAGTTTGTTGCTGTGATTATAGGTTCATTGAAGGATTTTCATTATGAACCTATAAAAAAGTTTTCTTTTAACCTTTATTAAATGGAAATAATGTTTTCACATATTGGTTGCCAGTCTATTCAGTAGTAAGCAGTTGTATTCTGCTTTTCTCATATGTTGTTTCATGTACGCATTTCCATTCACATTATGGTCCATGCCTGCCTTGTTTTAGCTGTTACAGGTATATTGCCATGAACAACTTTATATAGATCGTTTTTTCCTTTGGGTTATTTCCTTGTAATTTGTGTCAAGATAGAATTTCTGACTCAAAGGATGACGGATATTCTATAAAGTGTATTAATATAACAGATTATACTCCCTCTGTGCTCATAAAAATGGTGAACCAGTTTCCCACCAGTTCCTCACTTTCTTTTTTTAAAAATTATTTTATTGATTTTTTTGCAGAGAGGAAGGGAGAGAGAGAGAGAGAGAGACTTAGAAACATCAGTGAGAGAGAAACATTGATCAGCTGCCTCCTGCACACCTCCCACTGGGGATGTGCCCGCAACCAAGGTACATGCCCTTGACTGGAATCGAACCTGGGACCTTTCAGTCCGCAGGCTGACGCTCTATCCACTGAGCCAAACCAGTTAGCGCCTCACTTTCAATTTCATATCTTCCTGTGATCATTTGTGAAGTGCAAGGAGCACGTGTGAGTCTGTATTACGTAGTAAAATATTAGGCAAGAAGTTATTCTGGAAGATGTCGTATGTCTTTTTGTGGCATGATCTCAGAGTTACCCTAGCTTTAGCCTTTGTAATCTCAGTGGTAAAATTTTTTTCAAAAAGTGTTTCTCCTTTACTATTTGCAGTAACACATTTACAAATGAGAAAACGAAAATAGAAGAGCAAATAAGGAAAGGGAAGGAGCAATATGAGGAGGTTCTTCAAAGAGCTGTGGCTGCGGAGGTGAGCCCAGCCCCGGGGGACTGGCAGACAGGGCGCAGGCCCTGGTCTGCTCTGTGCTGACTGCACCTGGGGCACCACAGCCTTGCCGGGAGCGCGCAGGCTCGAGGTGTCCTGTCTCCGGAACAACCACTCTCCTCGCCTGCAGCTTCTTCATTGTTTGCCCTCACGCTTATGTTGTGTCACGTAGCTGTGCTCAGTGTACACCAAATTTTGTAACCTGCTTTCCTTGTTGAACATTGTAACTCAGTCATTTTTTTATGCTCTCCACTTTGAATGGCTTCATTATACTTAGTCAAGAGTCAGCCATAAAGCACGTTTGCCAATACTAGAAAAGGCACTCGAAAATCATCCACTTAAGAATATACTCGCCCTCGCCCTCCCCCCAAAAGGATATATGCCAATGTCAGTGTTTGAGAAAGTAGTGAGACAAAAAAATAAAAATGATGACCCCTGGCGGTACTTTATTTAGTTCTGAAACGTGGTTTGTCTAATTAAGAAGTTAATGTGGTTTATGGGCATATGTGTCTGTAATTATTCTGGGAAAATAAAAGAAGGCTTAGCTTGTGCAATCTGCAAACACGAGTCTTTCAGTTAAATATGGACTGTAGCTGCTTCTAAGGAAGGGAGGGAAGTAAAAGCCGAGCACCTGCCATCTGCGGCGCCGTGCTCGCGCCCGTGTCCCCAGCTGTCAGTTCTCACCACCACCTGGCAAGCCTTTTTGCCGGTGGGTCCTGGCAAGGTGCTGACACCTGGACTGAAGCAGGCAGTTCTACACTTCCTGCAGTGACTCTCAAAAGCCGCTGGTTGGCTGGTGGGGAAGCTGGCGAGTCCACTGCTGTGAAAGCATGCACCAGGGCTCCCGACGCCCGTGAAGCGGAGCACAGCGTCTCCGCAGCCTCTGAGTCGGACAGGATGCGGCCATGGGTGCTCTGCCCTGGGTAGACAGGCGCAGGTACCGCCCACTGGGGGAAGCACACAGGGAGCCTCGCTCTGTGCTGCAGCAGTAAGCCACGTGGGAAGTGTGGTCTCTGAGGAAAGTGGCATTTAAGGTATATCATTTTACTGTCATTTTATTATTCTAGTTTCACATCCAAAAGTTTTAATTCATAGTCACCTGACATTACAACATAAACAAGTTCTGGTGACTCTGTCATTGTGTGTCATTTAGGAAGGAACTGCAAAGTGGTTTAGAATGTTTAAGTTTTAACAAATTCAACTAGTTTCAGATTTTCAGTTTTAAAATACTTAAATGTTCTCTCATCTCATGGTAGGTATCTGTGCTTGAAAACCGGAGAGAGGCAGAAGTATATAAGTTACAGATTGTGGAGTCACAAGCAGAAGGGTATCTGAAGACCCTGAAGCAATTGCGCAGGTACTGTAGGCATTATGGGTATATTTCCCAGCATGTCATTTAGCAAATGAAAGTTACAGGTGAGGAAAAAATCTTACATTAGGCAGGACCATTTTATTTATTTCTTTATTTTAATACTAGAGGCCCAGTGCACGAATTCATGCACCAGTGGGGTCCCTCTGCCTGGCCTGTGGGATCGTCCCAAAACCGGCTCTCCAACATCCCCCAAGGGGTCGTGGATTGCGAGAGGTCACAGGCCAGGCCGAGGTACCCCACCAGTGCACAATCAGGGCGGGAAGGGACTGCTGGAGTGCTCCAGGGCATGTCCAGCCTGTCTCGCTCAGTCCTGATCGGCTGGACCCCAGAGCAAGCTAACCTACTGGTTGGAGCGTCTACCCCCTGGTGGTCAGTGCACGTCATAGTGAGTGGTTGAGTGGCCTTTGCATGTCATTAGCATATTACGCTTTGATTGGTTGAACAGACTCCCAGACACATATTAGGCTTTTATTATATAGGATATTTTGTATCGATTTCCGAGAAGAAGGGAGAGGGGAAGAGAGATAGAAACATCAGTGATGAGAGAAAATCACTGATTGGCTGCCTCCTGCATGCCTCCCACTGGGGATTGAGCCAGAAACCCAGGCATATGCCCTGACCGGGAGGGAATGTAACCTTGACCTCCTGGTTCATGGGTCAATGCTCAACCACCAAGCCATACCAGCCGGGCAAAAATATAGTAGTTGTTTTTTGTGTGTGTGTGTGATCATGTGAAATATATCTTTCATGTTTAAATGTTTGTTTTAATTTGTACTTTAGTGCTTTCAATTTTTAAAAATATTTTAAAGTGGACATTAGCAGTTTCATGTTTTTCTCCTTTTCAGTGATTCTGCAGCATATCCTGAACTAGAGTCTGACATACATTCATGGGAATCATTTCTTTCTGATGTTAGAAAAGAAATGGAGAAAGCAGAGGTAAGTTGTAAAACATTTTATAATTCTGTCAAAATCTATATGATAGTTATAATTCTAAGCGGCTAGTCAGATGGAAACCGTTCCTTTTTTGAGCTGTTAAAAGCAATAGATAATATTTGTTGAAATTTTAAGAAGAGTTTTTCATGAAAGTAATGATACTTCTTAACTGTCCAGCTCTAACCTGAATGCTGAGGTGAGAGCAGCGTGTTGATGAGGCTGTAGCGTGTCTGTCAGTGAGGTCTTACTCTGCACTTTGTCCTTCAGGAAACAGTCGCTTTAATACCCTCGTTTCATTTATGTTTCTTGGAAGATTGTTGATCGTTTTTAATGTATAGTAAGAAAAATAGCACTCATTGACGATTGTGGTTTTCCCTTGGAATTTGTTAGAAAACTGGACCCTTTTCTTCTACCTACAGTCTCAGTTTGAAGAACAAATTAAGGCCATTAAAACTGGCTCTCGGCTCAGTGAGCTTCCTGAAGTGCAGATCTCCGCGCTCCCGTTCCCTGCATGGAGCACAGTAAGTCTGTCATCATCTTTTTGGAGGGAAAAAAACAAAGCATAATGAGCCAGTTTCTTGCCTCATTGGCCAAAGTCGTTGGCTGCTGCTGTTGTCTGGGAGTGGGGATGGGATGAATGAATAAATGCCTTCATGTTTTCATTGTTGGTGCGACTAGTTAACCTTTAGGTGTTACAGTAAACATTCTATATAAATAGGAGACTTTCTTTCTACCTCCGGGTCTAAGGAGAGACCTGAGGTGGCAAATACACTGCTGCTCATCTCCCCTTTCTTTTCTGGATGCTGAGGTGTGTGTGTGAGTGTCCCTGCCTTTGAACAAATATTCCAGGTGTAGCAGGTGCCTGTAATTTATTCCTTGATGTTTAGAGGCAGGAGACCACATCTGAAATTTAAGATTTTTTTTCTTGTGAAATACTGATAAACACTGCTATCTGTGAGACACACGTGGGCTTTGTGGGTCTGGCATATCCCATTGCGCTGCTGGTTTGAGGAATATGCTGAGTCTTCTGAATAGCAGTGATTGCCAAGCCTGGTCTTGTTTTAGAATATGCAGCGCCGTCACGAAGAACATGCCCTTTACTTTGTGGACTTTAGCACGTGGCGAACCCTAGTGCCGCTTTATCCTGGCATATGTGATTCTTATCTGGACACAGCAGATGCTCAGTGAATACTGAACTGAAATGAGTTCAGCCCTAGGGAGATCAGACCATAAGAATTTCAAGAAGGACTCCATTCAAGAGTTTACTAGAGCCCTGGCGAGGTAGCTCAGTTCATTAGAGCGTCATCCTGATGCTGAAGTTTCGGGTTCATCCCCAGTCAGGGCACATACAGGAATCAGCCAATGAATAAGTGGAACAAAATGATGTCGCTCTCTTCCTCTCCTTCTCTCCCTCTCATTTCACATCCCTTCCTCTCGAATAAAAAAGAAAAACAAGCCCTAACCAGTTTGTCTCATTGGATAGAGTGTCAGCCCGTGGTCTGAAGAGTCCCAGGTTCATTTCTGACCAAGGGCACGTACTTTGGTTGTAGGCTTATTTCCTGACACTGGTTGGGATACGTGCGGGAGGCAACCAATCAACGTGTCTCTCTCACATCGATGTTTCCCTCTCTCTGTCTCTCCCCTTCCCTCCCACTCTCTCTAAAAATCAATGGAAAAATATCCTTGGGTGAGGATTAACAAAGAAACAAAAAGAGTTGATCAGAGATAGATTTCAGAATGTTTTGCCACAACATTGAAATCTTTTGGTTCTGAAATGGTCTTTAAAGCCCCCATTTTCCCAGCATTTGATTCACACCTTCCTGCTACTGCCAGACTTTGCCTGGCTCTTACACACCCAGGGCCCATCCTCTGCGTCCTGCCTTCCCCTGAGCCCAGTCAGGCTGCCCTCTTCGCCGCCCCGGGACCTTCTGTCAGGTATGTTCCTCTCCTTAACTTAGGTGACAGCTCCCTGCAGGTGGGAGCCTGGTCTGGAATGGCTTTTTCTCATCAGAACAGCATGTTAAGCATTCAAACTTGGTGCATTCATCTCGAAAAAAACATTTAGCCTCCTTGAACTGAGTAAAATATTCTGTTGAGATTCAAAGTTTTGTCTCCACAGAATAAGTTTTTTCTATCCATTAAATGAGTAATAGAGTTTTATTTAGAATTAAAGATACTTACCATTTACAGTTTTTCTAAGTTCTTGTAGCAGATATGAAAGGGGGAAGAGATCTCAGCAGAATATTTTACTATTAATGTTTAATTCTAGCTAATATAACCTTATAAATACTCAAAATAATTTTACATCCAGAACCTGGGAGCTCTCATTGTGCCAGGAGCTTGCACATAAGGGACCCTAAAAACCACCTCCTCTCTGCCACCCCACCCTTCATCCATTGGGCATGTAGTGGTGATCAAGATTAGCTGTGGTCTGTGCCCTCGGATGCCTGTGGGCTTGGGAAGCGAGGCCCTGAGTTACACCCGGAGTGCGGAGTGGGCCAGGTTTCTCCCCGGAGGGCGCATGGAGTGCTGCAGCAGTGGAGGAGGGCACTGGCCTGAACGGGCCCAGGCGCAGGAAGCTTCCTCTCGGAGGTCTCAGTAGAGTGAGTGCGAGACCCAGGATAGTTAGCCAGGAGGGCGTGGCGGGTGTGTGAGGGCATTTGGAGGCTGGGAAACATCTAGACGGAATCTTTAACAAGGGGCACTGCCGGCAGCAGGCACCAGTCACCGAGGCAGGAGAGGATGAAGTGGCCTGGGGAGGGGAGTGTGAGGCAGAGGTCGGCCTCGGGTACATGAGAGTTTCAACCCTGAGGCCTGGCCAGGCTGCAGGGAGCTGGGACCGGAGGCGGGCGGGAGGCAGAGCGTGCAGAAGAGAGAGTGACCCGCAGCATCGTGTCCTGGGCCTCAGTGGTGGAGATGTTGGCGGCCCTGGCGAGGGCAGTTTGGGGGGGTGTTGGAGCAGCTGTTTGGTTCCTCGCCAAGAGCAGCTGGGAAGGGAGTGGGGTCCCATGATAGGGAGGAGGCAGGTCGATGGGTGCGATGTTCTCCCTTAGGCGGCGTTTCAGATTTCACAGAGAAAGGAGTTATGAAGGGAGTTACTGAGAGTCAGAGTCCAGCCCTTTCTAACAGCTAGCAGGCATGTTACGATAAGTAATTAAACACAAAACAAACATTTCATTGTATTCCGATTTTTTTCTTAGTCATGCTTAGTTATCAGTCTTTGCCATGGATGTTTCTCTAAGTCTCACTGTGGTGTGTCCCTCACAGATTCGCCCAAAGTCACTTCCTGAGTCTCCAGGTCACGATGAGCAGGGTCCCTCCACGTCTGCAAGTCACGGGACCGGAAACCACACACCGGTTCCCAGGGATTCAAGCCTGGTCTCTGCCGGTGATCGCCCACTGGGGGCTCCCTCGCCATCACTGCCAGCATCGCCCTCTGCTCAGCAGGAGTGTGAGGGCGCCAACCAGGCAGCTCAGCCAAAATGCAGCCTCCCGGCTGATCAGAAACTGCCCGGTCCTCCAGGACGCACGGCCCGGCCCAGCCAGTCTCCGAAAAGGCCCTTCAACAGCATCCTCGAGCACCTGTCGGCGGCGCTCCCCTGCTACAGCAGGTGCGGTGGCAGACGCTGCTGAGTCTGCGAAACACTTTTCTTGAACAGGTTTCCTGAGCGGGTACAATTGTGGCCAGTGAGGGGCTGAAGTGGGAAGGATTGCACAGTTGTTTTATTCAGAAAGGCAGGTGCTACATTTTCTTTTTTAGGCCGATAGGTGCGCATTTTCAAATACATTTTTAATGTGCGTATCTAGTGAGAACTCTGAGCGCTCGTCAGAACCGGGCCATTTCCTAAGATGTGATGAGTTCAGTGACATGCGCAGCACTAGTTAGGCAGTTGCTTAGTTAGGGAGTTACCTGGTTATGCAGCACTAGTTAGGCAGTTGCCTAGTTAGGGAGTTACCTGGTTATGCAGCACTAGTCATGGAGTTGCCTAGTTAGGCAGCCCCTGGTGGCCTGCAGGTCACTGGCTTCATGTGGCTCTGGAAAACAAGGCCCATAAAAGGAGGCAGCAGCTCGCCGTGTGGGCAGCACCTCTGACTCTCAGAGGTGTGAGGTTGAAGAGATTGGTATGATTCGCTGGTGAATCGGGTGTGGGCAGGTTACAAAGGGAATCCGGGGGGCGGGGGCTGCGCTGTCTCACCTTAGCTCCCAATCCACACGTCAGTAGGGCTTCTCCAGACCTTGGCCTCGACCTCCAGGTTGGTACAGGGAGAAGAGGTGCCCCTTGTCCCAGATGAGGTACAGGAGTGTCTCCAGAATACAGCCAGGAGGAGAGGAGTCCCCACCCACGGCGGCCCTCTGCACCCCCATGTTGTTTCTGCCTTTGATGCACTATTAGTTGGAGTCCCTGATTTTATGCTTTTGAAACAAATAGCCCTCGAACTGTGATAGGCCAGAATGGATATTTTGCATCTACGGGGACAGCCCTGCCCTTGCAAAGTGAGTGTTCGGTCTGCACGTGGGTGTCTAGCCCGTGGGCCACAGTTTGAGAAGCGTGGTAGGTTCTCTCAAGAGCCATAACCCTGCCAGTTGTAAGAACATTCAAGTTGAAACTACTGACAGTACCTTACAAATAAGATTGTTTGCAACCCTCGCTAAATTTGGCAAAGTTAAATAACCAACTAGAAAAGCATCAATTTTCTGCAAGTTAAAACATTTGGGCTATTCGTGGTGTAATATCAAGTTGCTGTCAATTATTACCATTCATCCACACCCACTGGTGCTTGTGAAACAGGCTGTGCAAACTGTGTTGTGGGTTAGATTGTTGGGAGGACGTCAGCCAAGCTGGTTTCCTCTGAGGGAGAGGTTTTGTGGTGTCGGGTCAGGCCCTGGTGTCTGGGCGTTAGTGATGCTGCATCAGCGGCTGCCGGAGCCCGGTGTCTGCGGAGGGATGGCTCTCCCCGCTGATCCCGCAGATAAATGCCGTGTGACACTCTATTGCAATGAGCATTTAGACACCAGGCTGGAGTCTCATTCCACTTGGAAAGAGTGGTCCTGCTATTTTATGTACAGCTGCTGGTGTCTGCCTGTTCCTTTTGTTTGTGTGTATTTGTTTCTCTTGGCTGCTGGGTTGATATTGGCACATAATACTTTTTTGCACATAATACTTCTCAGCAGTAGAAAGCTGTGACGGTCTGCTCTCATCTCTCCCCACTTCCTCCTTCAGCACCGAGCTTGCTGGTTTCATTAGAAAAGTGCGAAACAAAAGCAAGACCTCGCTGTCAGGACTGAGCATTGATGAAATTGTTCAGAAGGTGGCGGCACACATTCTGGAGGAACAGCAAAGCCAAAAGGTCAGTGTCCGTCCAGATACAGCAGAAGGCCCCTGTGTCCTCCTGGGTGTAGATGTGAGACTTGTAGGAACAAAACAGGCTCCAACCAGAGGTGGTGAGCAGGTTCCTGACGACAAGGGGGCAAGCTTATGGGTACGAACTTTCTTCCCCGCCCGCATTATCTCTGCAGCCACGTCCAGGACAGGACAGGCCGCTGGCCGGGCCCAGCTCCGCTGCCTCGGGGATGGGGGCCGCCCAGGGCCCGCCCTCCGTGACTGCTGGACCTTCGCCCAAAGCCCGGGGCCAGAGGACAGAAGATGCCCCTGTGAGTGTTGCATGCACGACGCTGTTTTCTTGTTTTTTAGGAGAGCATTGTTAAGCCATGGGAGCAGTGGTTTAGCCCCATTTCTCTTATTTCTAGACCTAATTCCTTGTCCTGTAGACCGTCCGTGAATAGCAGGTGCTGTCTCTCTGCTTTTTGATGGCACGGATGTGCTGAGTGAGCTGTCTGTTTTCATTTTTATTTACACAATTAATCCACATTCATAGAAACTTCAGAAAATAGCAGAGAAAAATTAAATCTCTCTTAACCTGAAGGAGCCACTGTTACCACTTCACATCTTTGCAGACTCTTTTCTAGGCATCTCTGTACACACATTCTCTGTTGTTGTTGCTGTTTTAAATGAGTTGGTGGTCATATGAGGCTCACTGTTCTATGCCTGCTTCTACTCAGAGGCCTGTTGTGACCAGCTTTTACGTCAGGGATTATGAACTTCATTAAGATTTACTCGGCCACACAGTAGTCCCTAGTGTAGAGGTGTTGTAATTTACGTTACTGTCGCCAGCTGTTAGAAAATTAGATGCAGGATTAATTTGTAATATTCATCTGGTTCCAAACTTACCAGGAAATCCGTTAACCATATAAAACATTTTTTTCCTCTGAGAAAATTAGAATTTTAAAAGTATACTTTTCTTTTATACATTTATGTTTTTTCCTAAGAAGTGCTATTAAAAATAAGTTGTTTTATCCACACCTGAAATTTATATGTTCATGTTTACCAATGTCACCCCAATAAGTTTAATTTTTTAAAAATGAGAATAAATAAATAAATATTTTTAAATATATTTTTATTGATTTCATAGAGAAGGGAGAGGGAGAGAGAGATGGAAACATCAATGATGAGCGAGAATCATTGATCGACTGCCTCCTGTAGGCCCCACACTGGGGATTTAGCCCACAACCCGGGCATGTGCCCCAACCAGTAATTGAACTGTGACCTCCTGGTTTACAGGTCAACACTTAACCACTGAGCCACGCTGGTGGGGCAGTAAATAATTTTTTTAAATAAAAACAAGTTGTTTTATCAGTCTGCTTAGCTATCAATGGGAATAATTTGCCAATTTAGTGGCAGAAGTATTTGAAATCACTTGTCGGAAGTTTATGTAGTAAAAGGAATTTAGTGATTTATTATTTGGCCACATTTGTTTCCACAGACACTGGGTGCACATTCCTGTGAAATATGCCATGAGGTGTTCAAATCCAAAAATGTGCGTGCGCTGAGCTGTGGGCACAAGTTTCACAAGGGGGTAAGCGTTCCCTGGCCACCCTCAGAGCGTGCATCCAGACTATGAAGGATTTTGGAAACAAACGGGTTTTTTCCCTGGGTATCCATACGTCCCATGTTTCCAGGGCACTTCCTGTATCCTGTGTAGCATCACTGTCCGCTTCCAGGCTGGTGCTGTGGGAGGTGACAGGCCCCTGGGCCCTGGCTGTGTGCCCTGAGCTGCCTGTCCACCCCTCACTCCGAGCCGGGCACAGGGGCTCCATCGGCCAGGCAGGTGCAGACATTGAGCGCAGGGCCAGCTCCCCGACAGGCGGTTTCTTGCACATGGAACCAGACTCACGCTTGTCAGTTTAGTGCAGAGCGTGAGGCGGGGGCAACATTTCAGAGGAGAAACACTCAACCCGACTGGGCCCTGTGCCCAGTCCTGGCCAATTCTGACTTGTACCCTCCTGGGATTTGTGGGTAACTGTTTTGGTGTTTGGGGTGCCGTGAGCGTTTGTCCTGCACCCCTGCTGCTGGGTTTTAGAAGAGTTCAGGGCTCTGCCACGTGGGCTTATGAACCTGAGGAGGGGGTAAATGCAGGGTTCTCACTGGGGGAGTCGGGAGACTTGCGGTCTGGCGCCTATCCTGCTCCATGGTGGGGGGGTGGCAGGTCGTCACACCTGGATCTCAGACCTGTCACACACCCAGCTGCTGGGTGTGCAGGGCCAGGCAGACGGGGGGCTGAGGCGGGGGTGAGGGGTTGGATGAGTGAGTCCAAGGGACATGAAAATGCCTGCTCTAGAGGTCAGGGCCGCTGAAGCGCCAAGACTGGAGCTGGGGTGGGGAGGCCCAGAGTTCATGGGGCAGGTTCTGCGGTGGCGTTTCCTCTGGCTTGGGCCGCGCTCCCAACCTGAGCAGCTGCAGCGGCCCTGAGCTCTGGGCTCCAGGCCCCTCCCTGGCGGTGAAGTTCCCGCTGCCTGCTGAGGGCAGCACAGAGCACTCTGCCCCTGGTTGCTGACTTCCTTTTCTCCCTCCAGTGCTTCAAGCAGTGTCTGAAAGGCCAGAGCACCTGCCCCGCCTGCCTCGGCCGTGACCTCCCGTCAGGAGAGTAGCCGCACCTTCCGGAAGAGGCCGCCGCTGCCCCAGGTAGTCAGGCCTACCCAGGGGAATTTAGCGGTCAGTTGAACTGGAAGAATAACAGTATACAGCTTTGATATAAAAGGCAGACATTTGAAGATTCTTTGCACTGTGTCACAGTGCTAATAAGTGGAAATCTTTAATGTAGTTGATAGTAATCCCCTGCTCTGATTAACCACTTGGGTAACAGCCCCCTGGGGCTGATGGAATTGGCGTGACCACATTCTCACGCGCTGGGCTGCCGCTGGGACCATGGCTCTGCATGACACCCCAGAGCCGCCCTCAAGTTTGTGGCCTGTCCAATCCTTACAGGAGTCAGTGTTCCTGAAAACACGCCAACATGCTTCCTCAAAGATTCTGCATTTAAAGATGGGCTTAAGCAAACCACACTTTAATCATATGTAGTTGATGTTAAAATTTTGGCTGAATTAGACCAAAAGATTAGAATCTCCTCATGTGAAACATCGTGTGATTTTGATTGCTAATTATTTCATTTCCCACAAGCAGTTTTCTAAAGTGTTTGTCATCTTGTAAAGATATAATCTGAGTTTTGAAAATTGATTATAAACCACTTTCTTGTATCAGCCTCTTTACCCCTGAAATCGAGGCTCCATGCCCATCGTCCCACCCGCAGGTGGCGCTGGCTTTGTGGCTCCTCACCTTCTCCTGTGGCATCTTCCTGCTTCCTGGTTAGACACAGGTGCCAGGTGTCTGTCGCTCGCAGCAGGCACTGTGGGGAGCAGGCAGCACCATCCCCTTCCCAGTCCCACCACCAAAAACAGACCCTTGTGTAACTGGCAACCCCAAGGTGTCCCTGCTACCTCGCTCCGTGTTTGTGTGAAGTAATGCATGCATCCTGTACTAACTACACTAGGAGCAGTTAAAATTAGTTCTCCTTAGTGACATGTAGACAGTGGTAAACTTAGAAACACGAATTCTGGACGCATTCCATTTCTCTCAAACAGGAAGGAGCAATATATTTTTTTCTGTGTGTTTTTTGTGCCCCTGGAAGCTCACAATCCCAAGTTCATGAGCCGGTCTGTCGCCCTCCTCTGCCTTGCTCCGTGAGTTTCAATGTCTCAGTGACGGTCTATAGGTGCTTATTCCCTGTTTTGAAGCAGGTTCTCCTACCACCTTGTCTGCATGTTCCTAATGCCCGAGACCTGTCGGCAGGAAGGTACATAGGGACCAGTTTGTAGCAGCAGGGAAATGAGAGACGGGCCTTGTACATAACTTCCGACTCGTGAACATGCCTTACACATCTTGTGAGTGTCAAATAAAAGAGCATTTTAAAATGCAGTCCACTGGTGTGTGTGTAGTTCTTTCTCACCAATGCTGGAGAAGCATTCTACTTGAAAACTCAAGACACCTGTGTTATACTGACATTTTAGAATATGTTTTTATTTATTTTAGAGAGGAAGGGAGAGGGATAGAGAGAAACATCAATGTGCCGACTGTTGCACTCCCCACCTTGGGGATTGAGCCCACAGCCGTGCATGTGCCCTGGTCAGGAATCAAACTGGGGACCTCTTGGTTCCTGGGTCAACACTCCACTACAGAGCCACTGGCCAGGCTCTTATGCTCACATTTTTAAAAGTGACTTCGTCAGGAGAGAGCCATGTTTGTCTGAGGGGCCTAACGAAGGTCTTAGGGCATTTTAGAGTCTGGATCCAAACGTTGCTTTGTGCCCAAATAAAAGTTTACGAGATTGGCTATTTAAGTTTATGAATGGGAAGTTCACACAGACAGGAAGAGTACGCCTAAGGATGGTGAAGTGCACTCCTCAGCACCAGTTTCTTCTTGAGGCCTGTGGATTCGTCGACTGCAGGGCTGATTGGTAGGGTGCCCTCTGCAAGGACCCATGTGCGCTGACACTGAGAGATGATTGAAGAAAATCAGTTATGTTTTTCATCTGATAGCCTTTTCTTCAAAATAATGTGTAACTTAAGGCAATAACTATTCCTAAGAGTTTAGATTCTTTTCCCTGCCGAGCAGCTTACACTGTGCTACAAATAGTGGGTAACCCAAAGTAAAACTAAAAGCGTGCCCGAGCAATGCAAAACGTTCCTGCATTTTTAAGGTAATTCATAGCATGTATAGTGGAGGCAGGTGGGTCATGATAACGCAGCACAAAACTGGAGCAATGAACCTATTTTAGGTAGTTTTTTAGATCCTCCTGGAGAAATGGGTTAAAGGAAGCAGGTGGGAAAAACGGTAACAAGGATGGAAATTCTTTCATCCACAGAAGATGCTTGCTGGGAGGCTGATGAGAAGCACACAGAGAAGCGGACGAGCTGGGCTGGTCAGAACCAGGACCTAAAGCATCTCCAATGTCACCCGCACAAGAGAAATGGGAAGTGTGTTTAGGTGGTTTAAACTGTATTAAACTTTAATAAAACTTTATTGAAAGAACTAGAGGCCCAGTGCATGAAATTTGTGCACAGCTAGGGTCCCTAGGGGCTGCGGGCTGGGCCTCCCTTCCCTTGGCTGCTTGCCCTGTCGTTGAAGCCTGCCATGTTCTGTGCCGCCCCCTGGTGGTCAGCACACATGTCACTCCCTGTCAGATAAACTCCCACCCATATGGACAATTTGCATATTAGCCTTTTATTACATCGGGTAGCTACAAACCGAATTGATCACCAGTCGCATGTAATGCCCCCTGACTCGGTCTATTAAGAGGGATGTCCATCGTGTTGCCATCTGCCTCCAGTGCTTTGCCCAGACTGGTGGGCAGAGCCTGGAAACCAGTGAAAACAGAGGTGCACAGAGTACCTCCACGTGCCCTGGGTGAGCCGTTCTGATACAGCGGTGACCAGGGGCAAGGACCCCGGGGGGCTTGTCTTCCCGTCCAATAGACAATCAACAAATGTAACTTCAGGTGGCGAGAAGGGCCTTTGAAGAAGCAGCCAGGGAGGGAGGGAGATGATAGCACTCACAGTTTGCCTAGATCCTGGCAGGGACGCCGTTGGTAAGGGAGCCAGCAATTGTTGGGGGGCGGGCCGAGTAGCACAGAGAGTCAGGCGCCCTGATGATCCGGCTGGAGATCAGAAGCGGAACTCTGGGCAGCCCACGCTGGAGGAAAAGAGCAAGAAGAAACCAAGTCACCTCAGTCATTCTGGAAAGTAACAGTTCGTTCCTGAAACCTCCATGAGTTGACTTGCCTCTGGCTTTCACGGGCAGCCTTGCCGGTCTGGTCTGGTCCGTGTGGGTTCGGACCAGAGCTGTGAGGTTGGCTCCGGGGTGGTGCTGGAGGGCCTCGCGGGGGAGGCACGGGCACCCAGCTCCCCAGGTGGGGTGAGGACTGTTCTTAGTTACTCCATCATCGCCTCCCAGTTGTACCGTCTCTTCCAATTCCCCCCTTAAAAGTGGCAGAAAAGGAAGAAAACAACCGAAATGCTATTCAGCAGAAACTAAGTAGCATTAGTGAACTACAAAGTCCTGAGGAGACAACCATCAATAATTGGAAAGGACGTTTCTAACTTCATTAAGAATAATAGCTTGGGATATACAAATGGGAAAAAATGAGCTTTGACCTCACTGTATACGTAAACATGGACTCCAAATGGGTCGTGTCCCAACTAGGAGAGCAAAGTTACGAAGTCCTATGGGACGCAGTCCTGGGTGGGCGTGGGCAGAGATCCTTAGGAGGCAAAAAGCACCGCCCACCAGGATAAACATCAGTAAACGGAATGTCATTACCATTCAGAGCTCTAAGTCCAGTTACTGTGCATGAAAAGTCATGCCACAAAGTGGGAGAAGTCTGGCAGAGGATTCCAGAAGCAGCCTCAGAAACCTCTGTAAGAAAGGTAATGCATGTGGAAATGAGCAAACATTCTAAATAGGCACGTCACAGAGTCACAGGTCCGTTGGCATTTTGATGGCCAGCTCTCCACAGTGCCCATCAGGAGGGAAATGGAAGTGAAACCCACAACGAGACGCCACCCGCTGCCCACCAGGGAGGCGGGAATAATAAAGGCGGCCAGTGCCAAGTGTGGGCCTGTGGAGCAGCTGGGCTGTCAGACGCTGCTGGCAGCAGTGGGGTGGGCGTGACCGAGGCAAGAGTGTTTACTAAAGCGGGCACTGCGGTACCTGTGACGTGGCCAGGCGCGCAGGCGGCAGTGCAGGTACTTTCACCCTGGCCTCTTCCAGAACAGCCTCCAGCTGGAGCAGCCTCCAGCTAGAACAGCCTCCAGCTGGAACAGCCTCCAACTGGAACAGCCTCCAGCTGGAACAGCCTCCAGCTACAAACAGCCTCCAGCTAGAACAGCCTCCAGCTACAAACAGCCTCCAGCTAGAACAGCCTCCAGCTACAAACAGCCTCCAGCTGGAACAGCCTCCAGCTACAAACAGCCTCCAGCTAGAACAGCCTCCAGCTGGAACAGCCTCCAGCTAGAGCAGCCTCCAGCTACAAACAGCCTCCAGCTAGAGCAGCCTCCAGCTAGAACAGCCTTCAGCTAGAGCAGCCTCCAGCTACAAACAGCCTCCAGCTAGAGCAGCCTCCAGCTAGAACAGCCTTCAGCTAGAGCAGCCTCCAGCTAGAACAGCCTTCAGCTAGAACAGCCTTCAGCTAGAGCAGCCCAGGTGCCATCCACGGGGGTGCCGCCATCCGTGCAGTGGAATACTCAGTGCACAGCAGACACGAGAGCGCCAAGGCAGCCGGAGGACGCGCAAGCCCATGTCTGTGAACCTCAGGACCAGGACGCTGTGGGCAGTCAGGGTCGTTGCCTCAGTGCCTCGGGTGGTGCTGCGGAGGAGGGGCGGCTGGAGGTGGCCCGGGCGCTGGCTGGCTGGCTGCCGCGAGTTGGGAAGGTCGTGGAGCTGTACATGTAAAGCCCGTGCACTTTCTTATACGTATTGTTTTCAATAAAAACTAAACAAAAGCAGCTTGGCCAGTGTGGCTCAGTGGTTGAGCGTCAACCTAGGAACCAGGAGGTCACAGTTCGATTCCCAGTCAGGGCACATGCCCAGGTTGTGGGCTCAATCCCCAGTGTGGGGCACGCAGGAGGCAGCTGATCAATGACTCATTCTCATCGGTGTTTCTCTCTCTCCAATCAATAACAATATTTTTTTTAAAAAAAAACTTAGAAAAGAAATAAAAGAGACGCTGGGGTCCAGGAGGCACAGTGGTGACCACGGTCCCTGGGCGGGGCGGGGCCTGTACACCAGCCCTGCCTGTGAAACTAGATTCCCACGGGGGCTGGGGGCTGGGGGCGGACCTGACGCCCCCCCAGCACAGGCCTCCCTCCTCGGGGTGCAGGCCCTGCAGCCCCAGCAGAGCCCTCAGCCAGGCGGTGGCTCAGGAAGCTGCTCGGGGGATGAAGGATCAGAGCCTGATGCCAAACCGGCGGCTGCCAGACCCCGAGCGAGCGCCAAGGCCGCGCCTGAGGGAGGGGGGCGCGAGCTGTCCTGGGGTTGCCTGGTGCTGGCGGGTGGGACCATCCGCTCTGCCAGGACCCGTCTGGCCCTGGGCCTGGGCGCGGGTGAGGCCTGGGGGCTGGAGTGGGCTCCCCTGGCCCCCGGAAAAGAGCCAGCTATTCCACTTGCGGGAGTTGTGTTAGCTGGCTGTTCGGCCCAACTGTTGAAAATTGGATTCTGTGCGCGATCAGTGAAAGAAAGTCTATAAAACGCGAAGGCCGTGCCTCCTGCTACCGGGCATTGCTGTCTGCTTCGGGTCACTGAGGTGACATGTGTGCCCCTGTGTGTGGAGATGCTGTGGGGGCTGTGCCCCTCCTCCCACCTCGGATCGAGGGTGGAATGACGCCCCAGAAAGGGCCGATGCTACCGACCCCACCCCCAGAGTCTGGGGCAGGAGTGTGTCTGTAGGAGAAATGCCCCTGTGGGAGGGGGTCCCCTGTGGTCGGAGGGCGCTGAAGGTGCCTGGGAGCCTCTCGTGTCACCCCTGACCCTTCCCGGGTGACCGCTGCCCAGTGAGCGCCTTCCACTGCTGTCCGGCCGGGGTCCTGCTTTCGCTGCCAGTGGTGCTTCTGCGCCTCCGGCCTGGCCCCCTCCTGGGGGTCTGGTGCCCTTCCCTGCCGTTCTGGGAAGTAGACACTGTGGTGCAGGCACGCTGCCAGGGATGGGCCGTGGGGGGTCCTGCCCAGCACCTGGTCCCCTCACCCGGCCGCCTGCGGGCGCAGGTAAATCCGCAGGTGTGACTCAGTGCTCCCCGGAAGCCAGCGTGAGGGCCACCCCACCAGAGGCCATGCTGCTGACCTGCCTGCAGGGAGGATGCCTGGGGGGGGGGGGGGGGGGGGGGAGGGTGCGGGCCGGCAGGCACTTCCGAGAGAGGCCCTTCCTGC